CAGCTTGGTGGCGGTGGCGTTAGCATAGTAGTATGGACGACGAGATGATTGAAAATGAACACGACAGAGATCTAGTCCTATTGGCAGACATCCATTAAAAATGTAGGCAACGGCATGAAAAAAGTGGATTCTACTTTTACTTTTATACTTTAAGTAAATTCACAAGCCTGTACTTTGTTACTTTTACTTGAGTAAAGAAGTTTAATCAGTACTTCCACTTTTACCAGAGTATTTTTTAACACAAGTATCTGTACTTTTACTCAAGTACGGAAAGTGAGTACTTTTGCCATCTCTGTATATATATATATATATATATATATATATATATATATATATATATATATATATATATATATACATTTTCTTGTCAAGAATATATATATATATATATATATATATAAAACTCCAACACCCCACACTGCAATGAAACTGCCCACACTGCTGGTTTTCAGCTGGAAGGAATCCAAAGAAAATTCAACTATGAACAATTTCTTACAGAAATGATTCCAAATGCATAAATCTGCATAAACGTTTCTAGAGCAAAGATCACACTATCTTCTGGCAATGGACGCCCCTGCTGCCAAGGACAGCAGTAGTTACCTTTAGATTATTAACTTCCCTGTGAAGGTTCTGCAGAACGCTGTAATTTATCACCATCCCTGTGGGGAATGTCTAACCATGGATGCAACACCAACTCCTTCCTCTGCAGCACAGGCACCATTTTTAAACAGGAAACCAAGACATCTTTGAAGTCACCATTCACTTTTCCTTTTTTAAATTTGGATCCCCGTCTCTTGTTGTGGAGAAATGCTTACAGATCCAACTCTGGGCAGAACCCCTGCTATTGTTTAGGGCCAACAAAGAAAGGCTCATTAAGCCCAGCCAGGGATCTATTATGAGTTCTTTGTGTTAACAAATACTAACGCTGGATGGGCAAATTGCTTTTAATGAAAGAGTGAGACCAAACCTTGGCTCTGTCTGAATGTGTTCATATGTGCAGTCATATAAAAAAAAAAAAATGACGGCCCCGGTGGAAATGGCTTGATTGTTGGGTAAACGGGAACACGCACACTTCGGATAAACGTAGCATAAAAAACACCAAACTAATCATTAGTCTGTTGTGATTTTTTCTATAAAGTGGAGAAAACTTTTAGGGCAGCAGAGAAATATTAAAAGGATTTGGTATATTTAATGTTCATTTATCAACACAGAGGCGGTTGGGGTGGGGGGTGGGGGCACTGAATGTGAGGCAGGGTAGATCCTGAAGAGGTCAACCAGTTCATCACAGGGATACTTATTCAGGATACATCATAGGGCGTAATTGAAGAGACCAATTTATAACCAGGCATTTCATATAATGAAGGAGGAAGTGGGAGTACCCAGAGAAAAGCCCTGGATGCACAGGGAGAACATGCAAACTCCATGCAGAAACACCTCAGGATGGATTTGAACCCAGGACCTTCTTGCTGTAAGGAAATGGCGATACAGACAATAGGTGTTGTTGCTGTAGGTTTGGTCCTGCCCCCTGCTATGGCCCCTAAATACATCATACTGACTGATGATGTTTACCTTCACCATTTTGCTTTAACAATTATTTAAAAATTTAGGTGTTTAGCTTAAATTCAATTCAGTTCATTTGTATAGCGCTAATTCACAACACGTCATAAAAAACATGAAATATTTGAACTATAAATGAAAGATGGCTGCCTGTGGTAGGTCGACACACTCAGCTTAATGAGCTAACTATTACACTAGAAATAAATGCGCTGAATGCACCTATAAACATATTTTCTGCAATGCAAGAGGCAATGTAGTCACACTTCAGGTGTTCCATATAAGTTCCTTTACACCTCATCCCTCCCACATGCATGCTCAGAAATAAACCTGTCAACTTGCCACCATTTCTTATCGTCTAACTGTTAACAAGCCTGTTTGTCTGTGACTGACGTTGACGTGATCCCTAAAGCCCCAGCTTGGCACCGGATTGCTCCTAAGCCATATTAAGCCTCTGTCATGCCCACCCCCACCTTCAGTCTCCAGCCCCCCCCCTCCCTGTGCCATGGGAACCCTAAATCTTTAATGACGATGGAGAGCTCTGCGCTCTCCCACGGTACAAAAGCAAGCGACATCTGTCTCTGTAAGTGCTGCACTCCAGAGCGACTCCATTTGTTCTGGCCTAGTGTCCTCCATAGAAATCAAATAGAAGCTGAGGGAGGGTGGACATTTGGGAGGACAAAAATCTTCTCAGTCAAACGTTTAATTCTGTGCCCAGTGTCCCAGAATGCTCCGATGTGTTCTCAGATCGCCTCTTCTTCTCCTGAGGCCCTGACCACGGCCCACCTGCTCACAGCTATTTGCAGCTCAGCTCGGGTGCAAACACTTAAAATTAACCGCATCACTAAAGTCTAATGAAACCCCTGCGCTTTGGTCTGAAAGCGTAATGTTCACAGTGTGGGGATGGAGGTAAAAAAATCGACTTTTTATGACATGAGTTCAGAAGAAAAAAACATGAATATCGGCCACTTTACAGACTTTTTTTTTTTTTTTTTTTTTTAAAGGAAGTCACTCAAAATAGATATCTATATGTTTAATTAGGTCAAAGCCACCAATTATTGAAGTTATCTGTGCCAGAGCATATTATAATAGAAATGTATTCAATATAAGTTGGCTGCTCAGTTGGGCAGTGGGTAGAACTGCTGCCTTGCAGAAAGAAGGTTCTGGGTTAGATTCCCGGGCCGGGGTCTTTCTTCATACACTGCAAAAAACACCTAAAAATTCTTAATTTAAGTGTATTTATCCTAAATTTTAGCAGATAAACAAAATGATCTGCCAATGGAATGAGTATTTTTACGCCTAAAATAAGATAATTAAATAATATGCACTTGAAATAAGACAAAGCAATTGTTTTTTTCTTATTTTAAATGTAAATTGTTTTGTTCCATTGGCAAAGTATCTCACTTACCTCCTCAATAAAAAAAAAAATGCACTTAATTTAAGGAAAAATGACTCATTTAGATTTAGATTTTTTACAGTGTGGATTTTTCATGTTCTCCCTGTGCATGCGTGGGTTCTCTCCGGGTACTCCGGCTTCCACCCACAGTCCAAAAATATGACTGTTAGGTTAACTGGCTTCTCTGAATTCTCTTTAGGTGTGAGTGTGTGTGTGATTGGTTGTTTGTCCTGTTAGCCCTGCGATGGACTTGTGTGTCCACATGTGTGTGCAGGGTGTATCCCGCCTCTCGCCCCCGCAATCTCAGAAGGGATCAAGGATGATGGTAAATTGATAGATGTATTTAAAATCCTGTCTTCAATGAGGGCCATAAAAGGGGCCAGTTGTACATGGGCCAGTGCTCCTGTAATGTTGGGTCAATCTTCATGGTTGAATTGATTTTATTTTTACAATTCATTTAGGACCTTTACTTATATAAATAAAACCACATTGGGATTAAAATCTATTTTCCAAAGGGAAAAAAGTAAAAAATATAAAATGGATAAAAATAATTTAATTAGTTCATTTCTGGCCTCCTGAATAAACAATTAATGACTTACAGAGGGATTTTTCTTATGCCACATTGGAAGTTTTGCCACTGTTGTTTGTTCTCTTTTCTCTTTTGGCAGAATGGTTTAAACTGGTTTTCTCTGCATTTTCAAAGTTTTAGAAATGTCCATAAGAAATTCCATGTCTAAAATATGTCAATTTCTGTTTCCCATAACTTTTAAAATTTCTTTAAATGAGGACATGATGTGTTTTTAGATTTTCTAGCCAACCTCATGCTGTCAGACATTTAAGAGTGGTATTAATCTACCTCTGCTGGTCAGACAGTAATCAGGCCTTAAAGTGGTTGGATTAAAACCAAAGGAGATTAATCGACCCAAGAAAGAAAATAAGTGTTTTTACTTGTGAGGTAAGAAAAACTTGGTATGAATGAACATTTTATTTCTCTGCCAAACAGCCATGGAAAATAAAATCCTAGGTTTCACTTTGCAAGGATTAAAATATGTTTAAATACACAGATGGATATGGATACACCTCATATCAGGTTAGATTTATAAGCCAGATTAGAAGCACTGATTATAAGGGAATTAATCAGTTAAAATAGAGCTATTTTGTTTAAATTAAGCTACAAGTGTTTGATATTAGGCAACAATGCTGTGCTGTCATTATTGTGAAGGTAGGAAAGTGGACTAGTTGATTTGGATACCAGCTCATAGGGGCCTGAATCATAGGCAGTTCCAGATAGGGGCCAATAGGGGCCAGTGTCCCTATAGATCATGTCCTGGCCCCTGTTATGGCCCCTGTACTGAAGACATAATACTCAAAGAAATTGTAATGATGATACGCACAGGAACAGACATGGTTACTGATAGGTCCTTTGGATCCATTTTATTTTTTTCTTTACAAATTCTGTTTGACTAATTATTCTAAAACAATAAGGTGATAGCTTTAGTGGTAATGAGATAGGATCCCAGTTTTCATCTGCTAAATTTAGAAAAATAATATAATTTTTACAGCTGAATTTATCAGTTTTTAAAATTCAGATTTTATAGAAAACATCATTTTAACTTATATTTAGTCAAAAATAGGTCAAATTCCTAAATTATTCATGTATATTGACCTAATAAGGATTTTAATTCAACCTAACTGAATAGAAATGTCACTATCTGAATATATTTGAATCCTTTCCCCTGTTTTTTATTTCATGTTTTTCTGTTCCTGAATCAAAACATGCTGGGCCCCTCCTGGCCCCCTGGTATATTTGGTCTAGAACCACCACTGGCCTGAATACACTAGCAGAAATAAAAAAACAGGAAGAGGGATGAATGCTTATCATTAAATAAAAAGCGGCCCCGGAAAATGACAGAAACGTTTTTTATTTGTAGGATGTTGTTAGATTTTTTTTCCTAATGTGATAGAAGGTGATTTTTCCCCACTATATTAGAAGCCGTTTGCGCAGTTATGATCCAGCCCAGCAGGCGGCGACACAACACCATAAACTGAAAACAACCGCCTGGAGAGAGAAGAAGAGCAAACATGGCGGCCTCCATGCTGGTGCAGAGGGCAGCAGCGTTATGTGGGACTTTTAAAGGCATTTCTCTGTCCAAAGCAGTTCTTCCAGTGGCCTGTCATCATGGCGTTATGCTACAGACTAGATGTTATAACCCCAAACCGCTGAAGCTCAACCTGCGGGACCCCTACATCCCCGACAAGGAGAACGAAAAGACCCCGGAGTGGCAGAAGACGGCTCGCTATGACAGGAAGCTGTTCGGCCGCTACGGCTCAGCCTCCGGCATCGAGCCCGTGTCTCTGTGGCCTTCAGAGAAGGAGCTGCAGGAAAAGATAGAGGAGGAGAAGGAGTGGAACCCTCCTTTAGAGGTGATGCTAAAGAACATAGAGGCCAAGGAGAAGGAGGAAACAGAGAGGAGGCGCGCAAAGTAAGTCAATCTGTCCTGATGGATCAGTTTCTATCACTCCTCATTTTACTATCTAAAATGGGAGTATAGCTGGAATATACGACCAGGGCCAGGCTAGGGATGTTTTTCCTCTATTTCGAGAATAAAATGTCGTAACATTAAGAGAATAAAGTCGTAACATTGCGAGAATAAAGTTGCAAAATTACGGAAATAAAGTCTGAACATTGCGGGAATAAAGTCGTAAAATTACGAGAATAAAGTCATAAGATTATGATAATAAAGTCGTTATATTACGACAAAAGAGTTACAACGACAATATTCAAAATTAAGAGAACAAAGTCATAAAATTAGGAGAACAAAGTATTAACATTACAAAAATAAAGTTGTAATATTATGAGAATAGTCGTAAAATTACGAGAATGAAGTCGCAAAATTAGGAGAATAAAGTCATAATATTATGAGAATAGAGTCTTAAGGTTACGAGAATAAAGTCGTTATATTACAAGAAAAAAGTCACAACCAGAATAGTTATAAAATTATGAGAATAAAGTCCTAAAATCACGAGAATTCTTACAAGAAGCCCTTTCTTCCCTAAAATGAGGAATGTAGAGCATCATGTGAAGTTATACTTCGGCTCGGGTTTGAATAATATGGAAATCTTTTAACACACCAGGATCAAATTGGGTAAAATGTCAAAGTTGCTGATTGGTGGTGAGTACTTCCATACTCATAATTATGCAGTTTCTGTAGTATTATTTTATGTTCACAAAGAGCATCAAAGACATTTGACAGTTTAAGAGGAACTGTGTTATCGTTGAAAGAAAACAAGCCACTAGGGGGCAGCCAAGATGGAAGGAGGGGCTCCGGGCAGCCAACACCAAAGTGCAACTTTATGGCAAAAAGTGAAACCATTTTTCAGAGGAAAATTATTACAGAGTCGTTTTCTTGATTTTAGTAAAGCTAAGAATCTGATGAATCAATATTTGCTGTTTGCTTCAGTAATGAACCCAGAGCGGGAAGCAGCAATCCCCTTTGCTTTTTTAACATAAGCCATTTCATGAATTAAGTTCAATATTGATCTGTCTCACTTATATTGCATGTTTTCTTTTTTTTTATTGTGGCCAGAAGTGGGCTTTAAGTCACATCATAAAGAGACACTAGTTAAACAGGAAGTTGTCGATTAATGATGTTTCCTGTACAACTGGCAAAAAAAAAACCCAAAACAGAAACACACAACCATGCACACATACTCACACTAGGACAGTTAGGAGACGACAGTTAACACAACAGTCATGTACTTGGACTGTGGGAGGAAGCAGGGGTACCCGGAGAGAACTCATGCATGCACAGGAAGAACATGCAGAAAGATCTTCAGCCGGGAATGCAACCCAGAACCTTCTTGCTGCAAGGCAACAGTGCTGCAAACTGCTGTACAGCCCTGCTTGGCATTTCTTCCTGTTAAAAAGGAGTTTTTCCTCTATACTGTATCTGCATGCATTCTCATTGAAAGGGATTGCTGCAGAGTCAACGACACAATGCAAGGAAATATCTACTGTCAATATATGCCTATCCAGGAAGAGAGAATCCTGCAAAGGCAATGACTTCGTTTCAATTAGCTGCTTCTCATTAAATAAAAAAACTTGATGCTGGTTGAATCACCTGTAAAATGCATTAAGATAAAATGTGCTAATTGAGGCCACAAATAAACTGAAGTTATGATGGCACTTAATTACTCAGTAGTTATTAACCTCTCCAAACCCACCGGATCGCCAGCGACCCGTTTCAAAGTGTTTACAACTAACAACTTAGAACACACACAAAATGTTTACCAATATAGACATGTTAGACACCGTTGGAAAGCTTAGATTCTCCACAATTAGCCACCTAGTTCATTTTATGGACACAGCGAGCACCAAAGCACAATTAGCAGCAGCATGTCAAAATGTAAACATGACTAAGATGCCACAGCTACATACCTTTGAAGGCGTCCAGAAGCGGTTTTATAAATCCAATCTTCAATTGTTTATACTCCCTTCGTCCACTGATTAAAAGTAATCCAGCATATTTGTAATAAAAACATTCCATGATGAGAAATTCACCACTTAACATCCGGTTTTTGATGTCAGAAAAGTTAATTGGTCATAGCTAATGCTTAGCATCTTTCTAATATTTGCTGCCTAATACTTATTTCCAGTGTTGTGCCTGAACGCGTTCATTGAACGAAAGTTCATGAACTCGTTCATATTTTGGGCGAACGTGAACTGAACGTACTGCATTCTTGCCTGATGAACGTTATTGTGAACTCGTTCATTCTGGTGTCTGTGAACGGCACGCTCTCTCAGTGCAGCTCTGTTCAATAGGTTGCCAGATTTCTATAGAGTCCTCCAGGCGAAACCCCGGCTAAATCACACCGTAAACAGGCCTTAATATGTAGCGGGAAAAACACACAATCTGGCAACACCAGCTACCAGCGTCGTGGCCTACAGCCGCGTGCGTCATCAAAACAAAACGCAGCGTGGAAGCCACGGCAGCGTGGAGGCGACAAAGCAGCAGTATGATCACTTAAAACAGTTTTATGACCAGGTGGTTGGTGAGGATGATGGCAACAATCTTACATTTCTCTGCAAACTTTGCCCGCCGGCTTTCAGTAAAAAAATCCGCACTTCAGTAACCTTAAATTCCTACCTCAGCCTGGTCCCTCAGTTTGTGTTAGTAAAATGTTCTTGAGGATTTTACTATTCATGGAACTTGTTTGTTAAACCTGCCTGGTATAATTTTCCAGGATTCCAGTATTCCTTTTTAGTATGTACTGAAATGAAATTTCAAATTGAAAAAATTATTAAAATTAAAAAAAACATTTGCACCTTAAAGACTACGTTCCTGTTTTTCTTTTAATAATTACTCATAAAAAAGACCATTCAAGCAGCACATTTTTCCTGATGTTTTTGAGAATACTGTATACTGTAGGGGTGAAAGCTGCAGCTGCTACTAGTGTGAAGTGAATGGACAGCAACAAAGCGTTAAAGCAACAATGGGGAAATGCTGTCCCCTCAATGCTAATGTAAACCCTGGTTGGATAAGGATTCAAAACTGGATATGAAGATGAAATCTGACGCTCAGTTTCAGTGTTACAACTGATAAAATAATTACTGTCTGTGGTTCTACAGGAGGCTATGGAGTAATTGAGCAATATATGAAAAAAAAAGAACTATGAACTAGTTCATTTTAAAATGTGTGAACTGAACTTTGAACTAGTTCACGTAGAAAGAGAACTTTCCCAACACTGCTTAATTCCTCTGTTGTTAGCCCGCGATGTTTGGCACGGTACTTTACATCATTTTCTTACCTACAACACAAAAGTGTCCTTATCTTAGTATGATGCGATTTGAGTCTGGGACATTCGCTGAAGTCTCATAAGCGCTCCTTGCCTGTCAGCCAGTGACACACCGAGTGGAGCGATATTATGCCTCACAGGCATAATATCAGTGTATATAACAAAATGTAACAGAGTGGAAAATACTTGCTTCATAAATCTGTTGTGGCCATGAAAATGCTTCAGTGTTATTCTATGGGTCAAATTGTCTAGCAAAAATAATTTGGTACAATTTGGAGACCCTGGTGACACCAACAGTTCAAAGCCCAACAGCTCTGGAACTGCTGTGGCTAGAGATTTTTTCGCATTTGTGGTTGACATGATGTGAAACAAATGTAATAAAGTGAGACCTGCCTTTATCTCAAGCATTTCTTTATTACCGCTGTTCAAAAAATACCTATTATGTTCGAGAATAAAAAAACACTTTCAGTCATGTTTGAACTGATGCAGCTTGGGCTGTGTTTTACTCACCCCATTTTTATATTCAGAAACTAAAAGTTGTTAGCTTTCAAATCACATGTAAATTTGGCTTACAGTTTCTAAGTTATTTGCTTTTCCATTTGGAAATGCAAAATAGGGAATTCCTTCAAAATGAGGTGGCTGTTACACAAAGTTGTCATTCAGAGGAAAATCTAATGTAATTTAATCAGATGGTATCCTTGTTGTGATCGAAAATAGTAGAAAACTGTTCCTAAATTCCACTTTTACTGAGCACCACCAACTGTTTTCTTTTTTCCACAGAGAAAAGCTCATAGCGGCTAACATGTCCAAGATGCCCAAGATGATCGAAGACTGGCGGCGAGAAAAGCGCGAGACCAAACAGAAGCTGAAGGAGGAAAAGGCTCGAAAAGCGAAGCTGCTGGCCGAGGCGCGGGAGCGCTTCGGTTACAACGTGGACCCCCGCAGCCCCAAGTTCCTGGAGATGGTGGCAGAGATAGAGAAGGAGGAGAAGAAGAAGAGGAAACTGCTGAAGCGCAGGCTGAAGGAGGAGCAGGGAGCAGCTCCCCCTGCTGGCCAGTCATAGTCATGGACTCGGATATTCCTGAGCAACGCGGCGCCGCGTTTCCACAGCAGATGTTAAAAAATTACAACATGCACTTATGCAATAAACTGTCAACATGTGGTGCTGTTGCTCTAATTGTATTTATTGTTCTGCAAACTGGACTTTATGACCCTGAGGATCAGACTGTAGGAGTTCTATTAGCTGACATCAGGCTGAATTTAATAACACAGACTTTTCCATTAACCCTGGAAAATAATTTTTTGTCTTTTTTTTTTTCTTCAGATATTTTCACCATATTCTTCTTCTGACAGACTTTTGAATTAAATAAATACTTGGAAAAACCAACAGTTTCTTTGAAATCCTTTTAAATGAAGAAAAACACACAAGGTAACTCAAGGAATTATGTGAGCATAAATGAGGCAACTCCTTCAAGCTATTTAAATTTTCACATACCCAGAAGTTCTGGGCGAGGAGGAGGGGTAGCAACAATCTTCCAGTCTGACTTACTGATTACTCCCAAAACAGTTAATACCTACAACTCTTTTGAACATTTAACCCTTAATTTCCCTGATCCAAATTTCAAGGCAAGAAAACCTCTTCTTTTTGTAACTTTGTATCGTCCACCAGGTCCTTACTCTGAATTTTTAGATGAGTTTTCAGAGTTCCTTTCTGATTTGGTATTAAATACTGACAGGGTCATCATAGTGGGAGATTTTAACATCCATGCTGACACTGAAGGCGATAGCTTAAGAGCAGCCTTTAATGCTATCTTAGACACTATTGGCTTTGTTCAAAATGTGAATAGTCCCACACATTCTCATCTTCATACTTTGGATCTTGTGCTGACATACAGGTGCTGGTCATAAAATTAGAATATCATGAAAAAGTAGATTGATTTCAGTAATTCCATTTAAAAAGTGAAACTTGTATATTATATTCATACATTACATACAAACTCATATATTTCAGATGTTTATTTTGTTTAATTTTGATGATTACAAATGACAACAAATGAAAATCTCAAATTCATCATATCAGAAAATTAGAATATTACTGAAGACCAATAAAAACAAAGGATTTATAGAAATGTTGGCCAACTGAAAAGTATGAACATGAAAAGTATGAGCATGTACAGCACTCAGTATTTAGTTGGGCCTCCTTTGGCCTGTATTACTGCAGCAATGCGGCGTGGCATGGAGTCGATCAGTCTGTGGCACTGCTCAGGTGTTATGATAGCCCAGGTTGCTCTAATAGTGGCTTTTAGCTCTTCTGAATTGTTGGGTCTGGTGTATTGCATCTTCTTCTTCACAATACCCCATAGATTTTCTATGGGGTTAAGGTCAGGAGAGTTTGCTGGCCAATTAAGAACAGGGATACCATGGTCCTTCAACCAGGTACTGGTAGCTTTGGCACTGTGTGCAGGTGCCAAGTCCTGTTGGAAAATGAAATCTGCATCTCCAAAAAGTTGGTCAGCTGCAGGAAGCATGAAGTGCTCTAAAACTTCCTGGTATGTGGCTGCGTTGACCCTGGACCTCAGAAAACACAATGGACCAACACCAGCAGATGACATGGCACCCCAAACCATCACTGACTGTGGAAACTTTACACTGGACTTCAAGCAACGTGGATGAAGTGCCTCTCTTCTTTTCCTCCAGACTCTGGGACCTTGATTTCCAAAGGAAATGCAAAATTTACTTTCATCAGAGAACATGACTTTGGACCACTCACCAGCAGTCCAGTCCTGTTTCTCTTTAGCCCAGGCAAGACGCTTCTGACGCTGTCTGTGGTTCAAGAGTGGCTTGACACAAGGAATGCGACAGCAGAAACCCATGTCTTTCATACGTCTGTGTGTGGTGGTTCTTGAAGCACTCACTCCAGCTGCAGTCCACTCTTTGTGAATCTCCCCCACATTTTTGAATGGGTTTTGTTTCACAATCCTCTCCAGGGTGCGGTTATCTCTCTTGCTTGTACACTTTTTTCGACCACATCTTTTCCTTCCCTTCGCCTCTCTATTAATGTGCTTGGACACTGAGCTCTGTGAACAGCCAGCCTCTTTAGCGATGACCTTTTGTGTCTTGCCCTCCTTGTGCAAGGTGTCGATGGTCGTCTTTTGGACAACTGTCAAGTCAGCAGTCTTCCCCATGATTGTGTAGCCTATAGAACTAGACTGAAAGACCATTTAAAGGCTTTTGCAGGTGGTTTGAGTTAATTAGCTGATTAGAGTGTGGCACCAGGGGCCATCAATTTTGAACCTTTTCACAATATTCTAATTTTCTGATATGATGAATTTGAGATTTTCATTTGTTGTCATTTGTAATCATCAAAATTAAACAAAATAAACATCTGAAATATATGAGTTTGTATGTAATGTATGAATATAATATACAAGTTTCACTTTTTAAATGGAATTACTGAAATCAATCTACTTTTTCATGATATTCTAATTTTATGACCAGCACCTGTACAGCATAGAATGTGAAGAAATAACAGTATTTCCTCACAACCCTGTCCTCTCTGACCACTTTCTAATAACCTTCAGGATTACTTTAACAGAGTTCTCCTCCCCCAAAAGAAGGTTCAATTTTAGTAGATCTTTATCAGATAGTGCAGTTATAAATTTTAAAGAATCTGCTTCACTTTCTCTCTCCTTTGTGTCGCTGAGCAGTGCTGCAGAGTGCAAAAGCATAGCTTATTCCCCTTCACAGGTTGATGATTTTGTTGATGGGGTTGCTAGTTCTCTGCGTATTGCCTTAGACAACGCAGCTCCTTTGAAAATTAAAACCGTTAAAAATAGAAAGCTTGCTCCTTGGTTTAATGCAGAGCTGCATACTTTGAAGCAAAATGCTAGGAAACTGGAGAGAAAATATCGCTCCACAGGCCTGCGGGAGTCCTTCCTAGTCTGGAAAAATGGTTTACTGCTGTATAAGAGGACCCTTTGTAAAGCAAGAGCAGCATACTTCTCCTCATTAATAGAGGAGAATAAGAATAATCCTAGATTTCTTTTTAATACAGTTGCCAAACTCACCCAGAGCCATAGCTCTGTTGAACCGTCCATTCCACCTGCTCTTAGCAGCAATGATTTTATGGGATTCTTTATAAATAAGATTGATCTTATTAAAAATAAGATCATAAGCACTCCTCTATCCGCGATTGTACCTGAGGTAGTCATGGAATCTGAACCGGGTTTAGACTGCTTTGATCCAGTTGAACTTTCTGAATTAGCAAAATTATTGTCTTCATCTAAGCCTTCAACTTGTATGTTAGATCCAGTTCCAACCAGGTTATTTAAGGAGGTATTCCCTTTGATCTCCTCCTCCATTTTAGATGTGATTAATCTATCTCTGTTACAGGGATATGTACCTAAAGCTTTTAAGGTTGCTGTAATTAAACCTCTGCTTAAGAAACCGTCTCTTGACCCAGATGACTTGGTCAATTATAGACCTATATCCAATCTTCCTTTCTTATCCAAAATTCTTGAGAAAGTAGTTGCCAAACAAGTTTGCGATCACTTACACCATAATGAACTTTTTGAAGAGTTTCAGTCTGGCTTTAGAGCTCATCATAGCACTGAAACAGCTCTGGTGAAAGTCACTAATGATATTCTCATGGCCTCAGATAATGGACTTGTATCTGTGCTCGTCCTGTTGGATCTTAGTGCTGCATTTGATACAGTTGACCATAATATTCTTTTAGAAAGACTTGAATATTTTGTTGGAATTAAAGGAACAGCACTAGACTGGTTTAAATCTTATCTATCTGATCAAATTCAGTTTGTTCATGTTAATGATAGATCTTCAACACGCTCAAAGGTTACCTGTGGAGTACCACAGGGATCAGTGCTAGGACCAATTCTCTTTACTTTATACATGCTCCCAATTGGTAGAATTATTAGACAGCATGGGATTAATTTCCACTGTTATGCTGATGATACCCAGCTATATCTGTCTATAAATCCAGATGAAGCTAACCCATTACATAGATTACAGGCATGTCTTGAAGACATAAAAACCTGGATGACTCTTAACTTTCTGCTTCTGAATGCAGACAAAACAGAAGTTATAGTCTTTGGACCAGAGTCTCTGAAAAAGAAGCTGATTAGCCAGTCACTTCATTTGGATGGGATTAAACTGATTTCAGATAATAAAGTAAAAAATCTTGGTGTTATTTTTGATCAGGACCTGTCATTTAAATCCCATATCAAAGAGGTTTCTAGAATATCCTTCTTTCATCTGAGGAACATTGCAAAAATTAGAAATATCCTGTCCAGGGGTGATGCTGAGAAACTAGTCCATGCATTTGTTACTTCAAGGCTGGACTATTGTAATTCTTTACTATCAGGAAGTCCACAAACTGTAGTTAAAAGCCTTCAGCTGATCCAAAATGCTGCAGCCAGAGTTCTGATGAAAATTAAAAAGAGAGATCATATCTCGCCTATCCTGGCTTCTCTTGCTTGGCTTCCTGTTAAATCCAGAATAGAATTTAAAATCCTCCTTCTCACATATAAAGCCTTAAATGGCCAAGCTCCATCTTATATCAGAGATCTGATTGTTCCTTATGTTCCTAACAGAGCACTTCGCTCTCAATCTGCAGGTTTACTAGTGGTTCCTAGAATTTCTAAAAGTAGAATGGGAGGCAGATCTTTTAGTCATCAGGCTCCTCTCCTGTGGAACCAACTACCAGTTTTAGTCCGTGAGGCAGACACCCTGTCTACTTTTAAGGCTAGGCTTAAAACTTTCCTTTTTGATAAAGCTTATAGTTAGAGTGGCTCAGGTTATCCTGAGCTATCTCTATAGTTATGCTGCTATAGGCTTAGACTTTTGGAGGACATAGGGACCCCCATTTCATCATTCTGCTTCATTCTCTCTCTGTTCTCCTATTCTGCAGAATCTGTTAGTTCAATCTCTAACCTTCTGCTCTCTCTGCTTTTCCTCAGAGTAGCTTTGCCTCGTCTGTTCCTGTTTGGCTGTGACGTCATCCTGGAAAGAAACATCAGCTGTGCTGCTTCTATCAACACCCTTGTTTATAGATGTTGGAGATCGGCCTGTTTTCCAGTGTGGTCCAGTTTCTCTGGCCGTGACTGAGTGGATGTGCTCTCTTCGTCCTCTGGAATGGGAGCTGGCTCGGAGCTCGTCTGCCTGGCTTTGTGTTTCCTGGACGGGGCCGCCTTTTACAGCTGCTTTTTGTATCTCTGCTTCTGTCTCCTTGAACCCCAGTCGGCCTCGGGAGATGGCCGCTCATGCTGAGCCTGGTTCTGCTGGAGGTTTCTTCCTGTTAAAGGGAGTTTTTCCTCTCCACTGTCGCTACAAGCATGCTTAGTGTGAGGGATTGTATTTGAGTCAATGAGTCAATGCAATCAACTGGTTTTCCTTAGATAGAAAACTTTGTATCAATTTGACTGTATGATCTGGTTGAACTGTAAAGTGCCTTGAGATGACATGTGTTGTGAATTTGGCGCTATATAAATAAACTGAATTGAATTGAATTGAACTTCACAAAGGAACTTCACTCCCAATTACTAGAAAATAATCAGGAAGTTCAAACTTTGAATAAAATAAACCCAAATAAGGAAATCAAGAAGCAAATTTATACTGAAAGTCTTTGCTAAGTTTTAAAGTAAAAAATGCATTAAAGTTAAAGTAGTTTGAAACCTTCAGAGTATTTTCTGTTGATTTAGTGGGATATATTAAAGCAATGTTGCTTTAATATATAATATTTGGTTTTTAATTTGTAAACAATTAGAAAATCGACGCATGAGTCATAATTGATAGAAACAATGTTCATTGTGATAAGAGCTGCAGGTGTTTGGGGAAGATCTCTGTCAGGTTTGCTGATCTACAGACTGGATTTGTTCCCTTTTCTCCACAAAGTAACTCCCCCTGAGATTGGATGGAAATTCATGGAAACTAATTTTCTACTGTTGTCTCTGATTCTTACAAAAACTGATCTAAAAATACTTTTAAAAGAAAGCTTACATTTAGTCTAGTTTCCCTTCAACTTACCAGGTAAAACCGATCATCTCCCCACAGAATGAATATGTTTACTCCAATTAATTAGACATTATGCACTTAAAATAATTTTGTTTTTTTCTTATTTTGAACACAAATTATTTTATTCTATTGGGAAAGTTCTTGTACCCCAGCTAACGGTTAAGGTTAAATAATTATTTAAAGGAAAAAAAGAATTTTTTTGCAGGGTTCAGATGTGGACTAGGCCACTGCTTATCATGAACAAGCTTTGATCCAAACTAACCGGTAGTTTGCATCAGTGGCTCTGTTGCTGCTGGATGAGCCTGTCAGTTTATAAACCAGTCAGTTTTTTATTTTTTTTATTTATTTTTTTTATAAGTGTATTCTCTTGTTTTGGGCAGATAAGGGAGACAAGATAATTTATGTTTAAAATTAAAACCAACATCTCATTTGAAATGCATAATTTACACTGCAAAAACGATCTAAAACTAACTAAAGAAAAAATCCTAAATTAAGTGCATTTACCCTTAATTTGGGCAGTTAAATAAGATAATTTGCCAATGGAATGATAATTTTTATTCTTAAAATAAGGTAATTAGATAATATGCACTTGAAATAATACGATGCATTTGTTTTTTCTTATTTTAAATGTAAATTGTCTTGTTCCATTGGCAAAGTGTCTGACTTCCCTCCTCAATTCAAGAAAAAATTCACTTATTTCAGAAAAAAAATGACTCATTTAGTTTCGATTTTTTCCACTGTTTATCGTGTTCATTCAATTGACAGATCATCTCGTTTACCTGCTCAAATTAGAGTAAATACACTTATTTTTAGAAAGTTGCAGTTTTCCTGGTGAAGAAACTAGGATTCTTCAGTACAGAATGATTCTTTCAGTCCCATGTGACTGGTGTGTTTGGAACGACATGGTTCTCATCAGATTAGAAAACCTTAGTCCACATGTTTGCTAAATACAAGCAGGAGTTTGCATGACTGATTTTGAATCTTTCTATTTAAAGTCAAAATTTCTAGAGCTCATGATGTGTAACTGTCCTGGCAACTGATTTTCTCACCTCATGGGTCTCCTATCAGATTCTACTTTTTGCCTGTTAGGTTGGTAGTTGTGCGATTTTTAAAAAACATTTCCAGAACTTTCTCCCTGACCGTTCCACTGTGTTTGTTGGTTCTCCTGTATGGAATGAAGGTTGTTCCATTATTGTTGAAAGCAAGAATTATTTTAAAAAATGAAAATATCAAAAAATTTTAATCAAGAAGTAACACTGAATTTTTTTTATTAAAAAAAGGGAGAGTCACCTTGCTGTTTTCTCAGATTGTTTTATTTTTTTTTCAGATATGTTTTTATAAGAAAAAAAACATTTAACAGATTTATTATTTACATTTTTTCAGACTTATTTTACTTATTAATTATTTTTCTAGGTTAAATCTTATGAATTAAATCATTTTCAAAGTGCATTTTTATTTTTTTCTTTACCTCAGGGGGCGGGCATTCCTCTGGAGTGAAAAGCAAAGACACATTTTTATTGGTCTGCATGCAAAAATATATTATAGATAAATGTGAGCCTCAAGTGCGAGCGTTTTTAATCGGGCTTAGAGTGAAGATAATTTGATCTGTAAAATGCATTTAGAAAAGAATGGAATTGGTGAAAATGTATCTGAAAAAAAAAAAAAAAAAAGTAAAATATAAAATCTGTAAAACAATTTCTTAAAATTATATATATTTTTACGGAGTATTAGGGCCAGACTAGAGTTTTTTTTTTCTTCTTCTTCTTTTTCGAGAATAAAGTCGTACAATTACGAGAAGACTGTGGTAATATTAAGAGAATAAATTCATAAAATTACGAGAAACAAGTTGTATCTTATGACAGCTCTTACAATAAGCACTTTCTTCCCTAAAATGAGGAATGTTGAGCATCATATTAAGTTATACTTTGGCTCTGGTTTGACAAATAAGAAAATCTTTTAGCAGCAGTATCATATTGGGCACTAGGTCAAAGTGGAGTCAGGTTGCTGATTGGTGGAGCTGGTCGGCCGTCATCTGCTGGTCAGAGCTCAAAGCTTTCTTTCTGTAACGGACAGTTGTATGAGGACTTCATTCTCGTAATATTACGACTTTATTCTCGTAATGTTACATCGATTCAGTTTAGTATTTTAATTACACTTTTCCTTTTTTTATTTCTTTTTTTTATTGCAGTTTTAGATTTTCAGATTAAAATCCCTTCTGCCAGTTACTGTTATTTTTAGTTTCAAATTCTTTTTTCCTATTTCAGGATTTTTTTATTTTATATTTTTATACTTTCAAATCAGTTTTTTTTCACATTCAGAATTGGACCCCAGCAAAGTAAATTCTGTGTTTGTCTCCAGAAAGATGGCGTCTGTGGATATATATATCATCCGTCTTAGTGGATCATTATGTGACAGTTCCAGTGTAAATGTCTTTAAATATCGTATATTTTATATTTCTGTAAAAAGAATTTGAATTTTGAAAATACAAAACATGCAAATTTAAACAGCAAAGTTTCTCTCTATTTTTGAATAAATTGTTAATAAACCCCTTATTTCTGGGTTATATATTTTTTTCAAATTTCAATTCACAAAATGTGTTTTTGAAAATTCCTATTTGTAAAACATGTTTGCTTGCAAAAATAAAGGAACAAAATTAACTCCATACTCATGGTGCTGTTTTATTCTGTAACAAACTTCTGCAATTTTCACAAAACTCCAGGATTAAGTTCCACACATGGACTCTGCAAACCAATTAGCTGCAGTGGATTTTATTGAAGGCTATCAGAATAAAGGGGGCGCTGATGCACAAAAGTTGCACATGTATGAAAACATTTGCTCTGAGTTGGGTTAAAACACCGTTACCCACAATGCATCACAGCCTGGATTCTTTATGCTTTGGCAGGAGAATAAAACCTTTTACCAGATTCCTTTTAATAAAGAAACGTTTTAAACTGACGATACAGGATGATCGCCCTCGACCACAAAGAAAGTAGAATAAAGTACAACCAAAGATTTAAATCAATCTCACATTATGTTTGATTTTCCTACATTAAGTTGATTAGTGAAGATTCATTGTTAATGTAAACCATAAAACATCTATAAATATAATAATGTGTATAAACATCAGGTGTGTTTTCACCTGTGTAAGGTAGTTAACAGTCCCTCAGCTGCGCTGCTTTCTGAGGAGCGTTCCTCTCTGTCAGGACGGCACAGCGATGGCGCAAACAATACCTCCAAGAATGGAGCCTGAGTAGCATTTAAACGTCAGGTTTACTGTAGATACACACGAGTTCAAAGTGTCCATAGTGAGGAGAGCAGAAATGTTCTGTTACTGGCTGTCCTCTTCTCCAGGGTCCGCTTTCAGTTTGGCCAGAGCAGCGTGGACCCTGAACAGTGTGCGGGACTCCATCGAGTAATCCTTGTAGTTGTGCCTGCAGATCAGAAGAAGAGCAGAAGTCATTCTATAAAGAAAGTGTTTCTGCTTCACTTTTTAATGGATGCTTCTGAAAACCTGCATCCAAACTGCTAACTGGAACAAATTGATGTTATTTACATCTAACTCGTCTTTATCTCTGCAGTCTGCTCTGAGTTTAAGGAGGCCAGATAGGATCCAGAGTTTCTCTAGAGCAGTTGTTGTTGGGCCCCTGTTTGGTTAATTTGTTGTTTTTTATACCTCCCTTAGTTACCTCAGCCTGCCCAAAAACTGTTGAACAGATAAAAGTCATCAGCAGTAAATTATACGTTGCAATGGAAACAAACTAAAGTCTCATTATAATCAGTATAAGACTAATTTAAGACTAATAAAAGATTCTTTTAAGTTTAACTGCTTATTTTACAGTTTAACAGCTATCTAGGTTGTTTTTTTTTAACTACATCTCAAAATGGGTAATTTTATTTTTACCAATTTCTTTCTACCAGGCCGCCCCTAGGGGACGCAACCCTCACTTTGGGAATTTTGCCTCTGATGATCACAGCAGATGTTAGAAAGTTTACATGAAATTAAGCTTTAAATGTTTTTTCAGACTTTTCTACCAAGTTTATCTTACTTAAATCCTAAATTTTACCGTCTGAGATTTTTAAAGCAGTGCTGCAAAGGGACTTTGACTTTTTCCTTTTGAGACCCAAAAAAGTAGAAAAAATTTCATTATATTATTTAAAAGTGAATTATTTATATCATTGATGCAAACAGGAAAAATCTTTTGGTGATGCAGATTTAAAAAAAAGGAAAAAATGTAATACAAACATTAAACTAAAAGTTTTTCAATTGTGTTTTTCAGATAACATTCTCTTCACACTGGCTTTCCTTTGGATTAAGGAGTGAAGATGCATTTCTATTAGTTTGCAAGGATGTTAGAAACAACATTTGAATTGAAAAAAAAAATTAAAATATATTTTTCAAAACAGACAATTTAAATAAAAAAAATATAAAAGAAATATGAAAGAAAAAAGTATAAGATCATCAGAATTTTGGTCAGAGTTTCATTACTAGTTGGCTTTTTTTTTCTTAAAATTTCTATTAACAAAAACTTTTCTCTGCTTTCAAAAACCATGGAACAAAAATGACTTCATAGTTTCTCAGCTCTACCTCAACTTAAAAGTAAAAAATCTGAAGTTAGAAGAATAGACACAAAGGTTCGGAGAGTAAGGTAATAAAAACTACAATCCATCATGGAAGTCATGCTTTGGAAGTTAATAATGCTTTAAGTAATAAACTGACAAACCAAGCAGACATTTGCCGCTTTTAAGTATCGGAAGATCATTTCCTGCTTTTAGAACGTCGTAAATTTGACTTACGTTTATTTTTTTATTTAAATAGAGGCTCCTTAATGATGTAGTAAATATATTAGGTAAATACCCTGTTTCATTGTTTATACATAGAAAATACTGAAAATTATATTTTGATTTTAACAGCTTTTATTGCCAATTACGACCCTAAATCCTTCAGTGGACGGTCATCAGATGTCTTCTACCTCTTTAGATTTTTTATGCCCTTAATGATTGTAAATCTACACCAAAGCATCCTTAATGTTCACTAAGATCTAAAATTAACAATTAGTATAACTTTAATCTACCATGGGACGGTTTAGTATATTTGAGTAATACTATTAAAACATCAGTTTCCATGGTTACCATACTGTGAGTATCTCACTTACTTTACTTTGTGGAGTATTTTAATAGCTGCGTCTCTCCTGCCCTGGTCAATGTAAAGCAGACTGAGCTCCACCAGAGCGTTGGGCACCAGGTAGTGATCAAACTTGATCTTCTTTTCACTAGAAAAACACAGAAAGAGAGAAGTAGAGTCATTCTAATGAAAAAATGTCAATTAAACAGAGATTATAGAAGGCAGTGATTTAGACATCATCATATGTTTTATAGGAAGAGGCGTTGGTTTCCTTTGCAGGTTTTCTGTCTCTCTAAAATAATTCAGACGAATGGAACTTCTTTAAATTTGATCACATTAAAAACAGTAGATTTAATCAAACTCATTGTTGTTTTATGAGTGATAGACTAATATGGTTTGTGGCAAACATGGTGGTGGCAGTATCATGGTGAGGGGATGCTTTGCTTGGGGGGGGATAGTTTCAGGCAGCTGTAACCACAGGGAGGGGCTAAACTTTGGTGTTGGAGGGGTTCAAACGTGGTAATTATATAGAAATGATTTGAACAGGTTAATAAGGCGATCTGCCAATGGAAGGAGGATTATTAGCCTCAAAATAGGATATTTAGATATTATGTACTTGAAAGGTGATAATTGAGTTGTTCTTTTCTTATTTTAAATGCAAATAATCTTGTTCCATTGGGTGAGTTACATGCCCAACTCCACTACTTCCTGAACTTTAGCCAGCTCCTATGTTTCCTGTCTGGAAAAACGGATCAATCCAGCTGTATGTGACCTCAGTAACAATGACAATAAAGACTAAAAACACCTGAATCAATCAGTCGGTCCAGTAATGAAAGATAGGAGACAAAGGAGCTACTGCAGTTCAGGAAGTAGTGGAGTTGGGCATATAGCCCACTATAAGGAAAAAACTCTTATGTAAAGAAAAATTAACTTAAAATACTTTCTGTTTACATTTTAAAGCATCTGCATGTTTATGAGCAAATTAATTATTCAATCCGGTTTCAAAAAGATGAGGGAAAATTTTAGTTAAAGTGGCGTATTTATCTGGTAAATAGGTGAGACTCTGCTGAACCGATCTGTGTAGCCTCTTGATGCTTTACTTTTCATTGTTTTGTATTGTTAAGTACCCTGCAGTTGGTTTTTGCACCGCTTAAAATTACTCGGAGTGTTACAAATACCCCATTTACACTGCCATTGAAAAACCAATCCATGCCGAGACAGGGTCCGAGCTCGGATCAGTTAACCAGACCAAGCTCGGTTCTGACGATCGTTTACACATCACGCTTTCTCGGTTCCTCGACTCCTCGCCTCCTAGTGACAATCTGCAGTATTACTGCCAGTATTGAAGGAGGAAATCAAGCAGTTGGTGGCGGTAATGCACCAAAAATTGTTTGCCAACCGCTATAAAACACAAGAAGAAGACAATGAAGGAGGGGGAAATCAAGCAAATCGAAATGGCGGCGCCCGTCACATTCAGATTATTATTGTGCTTGATTATTATTGCTGTACTTCGGTGTTTGCGGAGGATCAAACCATGCTGTTTTGAAGCCATTATTTAAAATGTTGCGTGGAAAATATTTCAATTGTTGTTTATAGTTGTTGTTCTTCTTCTGTTTTGTGTTGGTTGGCAAGCAACTTCCGCAGGGGCATTACCGCCAACTACTGGAATGGAGTGTGAATCGGGATGTGCAGCCAGACGGAGATGACACGTTCTGCTCATACGCTCTTGTTATCAGAGAACTGAGCCAGGGAAAAACCGAGCCGAGCCCACCTCTGGAACTGGTCTGCAGTTATCTCGGTTCAGTTCAGTTTGCTTTCCATTTACACACGATAAGTTATCTCAGTTACTGAGCTTGGACCGGTCTCGGCAAGGTTTTTCAAGAGTAGTGTAAATGGGGTAAAAAAGAGGTCCAGAATTGCCCTGAATAGAGTTATGTTGCCCCTGCTAAAGGTGAAGGATAGAAGCTAAAATCAGGTGGTAGGATCACATGATGGCCGCTGTTCTGTCAGATCAGCATACCCCATCAGACCAGCATACGTATGCGGAAGACGTCCGATTTGCATACATCACTATGCCATATACGTAACAATATGACACTATAAGTGGAAGGAAGTCTACTAGGCTACTTTATTTATGCGTGATATGATAAAGAAACAGTTGTAGTTGAAGGTAAATACACAAACTTACCAGAAAAGCATACTTAAAGTCAAGTAGGCTAGTTTATTTATGCATGATGTAATAAACAAAAAGTTTAAGTCTGAAGTAAACAGAATTTAAAGTTAAAATGCTTAAAATACAGACAGCCTCACTTTCTGTTTGCTATTTCACAGAACGCCACTTCCTGAAGCAGCAGCTAACCTGTCAGATTGTCATACAACGGTTAAAGCCGGGAATACACTGCGATTTTTTTCAATGGTTGCACGCAGCTACAGCTCACACTGTACGACGAAACCCTGCGGTGAGTGTGAGTTCACAGCTCACGATGTATATGTAGCACGACGCTCTGGTGCGATCTACCCGCTCTCACTGTACGTCTAAAAACCACGTGGGACTCAGCTCCGCAGTGAGACGGCGCTACTCAGACTCATCTATCCGGAAGCCAAACCAGTAGAAGAGGAATATGAAGCTTGCTAGAGAGAAACACTCTGCCTTGGCAATTTGTGCAATTTTGTGCTTAAAGCCCTAAAAAGAAAAGGCAAGGACGTATTTACACAAAGGAATTGGTGACCAAACGTGGCTACTATGGTCTGTCAATTTTTCAGAAAGAACTCCATTTCACTCGCACACCTGAAATGCTTCTGTGTTTTCCTCTGAGAGAAAGAAGAAGAAGAACAATCCTTGTTTGCACACTGAGCAATCTGCTCACGACAGTTGGGCCCGACCTCACGATTCCTGATTGGGAGGCGGTCCTGAGAGGCTGATCGCCCCTCGTTACCCCCTGTACACTACACGACACACGATCAGACTGAAAGTCGGGCCGGTTGCAAAATTCTTGCACAACAAGAAAGTCGCCCCGAACCCGAAAAAAATCGCACAGTATAAGCCCGGCTTAAGTGTATGCTGATCTTGACAGGCTGATCTGCAAATGTAACAGAAGCCTGCGTATTACTATGGGAATACTGGTCTGACAGAACGACGCCATGACGACATTTGCAGGGAAGAAAGGAAAGGTGAGTTTTCATTTTAATCTGGCTTATTTCTTTACTAAGGATATGATTGTCTCCCTCTAGTGGTCTGGAGGACCTTTGTTATCCGTAGCTAGTTTTCAGCTTTTCATAACTTGCTGTTGTTTTGTTTACTTCCAGTATTTCTAATTGCAAAAGTTTAGTGTGTTTAGTGTTTTAGCATGATTTGTGTTTGCAGCATTTATCTATGTTTGCACTTTGCCATTTTCTGTTTACTGCAACTGCAGCATTTCCCTTTTGCAGCTACTTTTCCATTGCATGTCTTAAATTTTTGTGCTGGTGTGCTTGGGTTTTCTGTATGTTTTGTATTTGATGCACATGCATGCACTTGCAGTGCGCTTGCAACCCTCAGCCACTGTACCACACACAAAGATATAACACTTCTGATTTTCATTAGAGAAACAAAAGATGAAATTTGTTTTTCAACATATCAGCCAAATACATTTAAGTTTTCGTTTGTAGCTTAAAAGACTGTAAAACCAGTCATTGGGTAGAAACTCTTTTGCAAGGCACTGTTGATTTTAAAGTATGATGTTCCATGTTGGAAGGTATCACCATTCTTACATTTGCCATGCAAATATTTAAAGTTTGGAAGTTAAGAATGTTTGCAGTTGCTAAGCAAGCGAGACATCCTCCTGCAGGTTGACATTTCTCTGAAGGTTGCTTTTCTTATCGAAGAAGCTGCAGAGATTTCAAAGAAAGCAGGTCCTGTTCTTAGAGTAAGTGCAGGAAATATGCCCCACCTTGAGCACACTTTGCTGAAGCATTCCTCAGCAGCCTGCAGGATCCCCTGGTTCTTAAAGCACAAACCCTTCAGCATGTGGATCAGACAGCGGTCGTCCATCTTATATTCATTTTCTGCAAAATAAAAAGTGGATGGTGTGTACTGATAAACAGAAGCGTCTTCTGCATGTGGCATTTATAGTGAGGGACAAGCTGCAATACCAGGAGATTCCAGCAGAGTGCGCTCTGCCTCCACCAATGTCTGCATCATGCCTTCAGTCAGCTCTGGTCGCTTGCTGATCATGCTGAAGCCGTTCCACATGTACATCATCTCCTGCAATGGTTCATGTTTCACTGTGAGCCAGATGTGAACCAACATGTGTTTCTGCGATCCTTTCAAAGCTGTGAGACTCACCAACACAGGAACCGGCAGCCTCACCGGGTTGGAAACCTTGTAGCGTCTGGCTTTACGAATCGCAAACTTCTCTGTTGGAGGAGACTTTCCTGCGATCTTCTGTTTTAGGCTCGGTACTTGTCTACAGGAAAAAGGAGGAAGAAGAAAACAAACCATGAAATAATGATTAAAAAAGTAACTTTCCAAATCCCAACAACTTTTTACATTTTAGCACATTATAACGCCATAATGCAATCTTTTTTATAAGGACACACACTGTAAAATCGAAAATTACAGTTTGAGTAAAACATTCTGTATTTTTCCTGAATTCAGCAGGATAAATAGATGTTTCCCCTACAAAAATCAATATTTTTCCTTTAAAATAGGATTAAATAGAAATTATGGACTAAAAATAAAAGTATTTTATTTTTATTTTAAGCATAAAAATACTTACATTTCATTTTTTGCAGTGTTGACCAAAGGTCTGGCGTATAGCACTGTAAATTAATCGGTTCTTGTCAAAATAGCAATCTTAGATTTAGCTTCTCCATTTTAAGCGTCCACCTTTACACTATCAAATCAGTTTAATAAATCTTGCAAAGTATCTTGCTGAATGGACACCCTAACATGTGATGATTAGATTGAAAAGTAAATACTGACACCAAGCTGCAATGTTAACCAGTTGCTCAGTTTTTCTTTTTAGATATTTTACTCTGAACCATCTTTATCAATAATGTATTGTTTGGAAGTTTTAACCTTCTGTTCCTGATTCTGAATAGTTTCAAATACAAAAAAAAATAAATAAATAAACCGATCTACTTTTGTCAAATATATTTATTTAGTATGCCTTCATTTAAAGCTGCTAGTTTCTGTTAGTGTGGAGTCATGCCCTACAAAACAAAGACTACGTTCAAACTGCAGGCCTTAATGCTCAATTTAGATTCCTTTGCTGTTTCAGTTTACATTTCCAAATATATGCAACTTATATGTGATCTCCTGTGTGAACTGCATTCATACAACGTAAGTTTCCCACATGCGCAATAGAGGACGCAACGACGTCACAAGCAAGCATGCTCTGTGTTTACGGAAGTAAACATGGATGGTAGCGCTGGAGTGCATCTAGCCATCTTTCCCAACCTTAAAAGAATCTTTTCAAGATGGTTGAAAATAAAGACTGCTCTCCACATGGATGTCGTTTTTCTTGCAGATTCTGCGTAGTGACCTTTGTCAAGGATTAATGGCGTTCAGGTTGGATGAATGCAACCTGGCTGTTGTGAAAATCAGGTCTGTGTTGTTCAGACGGTCATGAAAAGATCAGATCCAGGTCCCATATGGGTGAAAAAAAAAACAATCAGATTTGGGTCACTTCAGGCTGCTGTGTGAACGTAGCCAAAAAGAGGTTCATATGTGACCAAATATGCCGGCCAGGCTGTTGCTTTAAGCCACTGAGGCGATGCAGCGGGTTATCATTCAGGAGCTGATTGTTATCTTATCAGATGAATTAAAGTCGGAGCCATCGATGCTCATTGTGTAAGTGACCCATTTATTTTGTCCACATCTTCTCTTGTCAACTCAAAGAAAAACATATTTGCACAAGCTTACACCTGATGACAGCATCTTACTTCCTGGTGGAACACCTGCCTCCCAAATAAAGGCTCCTTACATGGATACTGCTGACTACCCGTTGATTGACCTAAAAACTAATTCATTTATCACCTGTTTCTACACAACCTGTAAAACTGAACCGCATATGAAACACAGGACATAAATATAGCATTCAATTTATAATTTACATGGTAAAGTTCCTGTATACATGTGGATTTAGAGAGTTTAAAGTTAGAAACATCAGATTCACTGATGTCATTTCCATTTAAGGCACACATGCGAAAAACACAGGAATCACATGCTAAAAACGAGAATCACATTTTCATATGTGATTCACATTTGAGACACGTACTAAAAGAACTTATGATTCAAATGCGATATAAATGTCTTTAGATGTGATTCCCATTTGAAGCACAGGCCATCACATGAAAACATGTATTACATGTGAATCCAAATCCACATGTAAACATGTGCTTTAACGTGTGATTCCCATGAGTTGCACATGTAAATTTCATGTGTCACGTGTGATTTTTTCTGAATTCATGTTTTTTTTTGTAAAGACAGATAATGTTGCATCATGGACAAAACCTTCCACATCCTGCACCAGGCTGTAGAGGAGCTGAGCAGCTCCCTTAGTCAAAGACACCCTGTTTGTGAAAAGGAGCACTGCAGAAGGTCATTCATCCCTGCTACTATCAGACTCTACAATGCAGCCCAACAACGGCAATAACTTGTGCAAAATGTAATGTGCAATTTAGCATTTGATACCCATTGCAACAACCAGTTTCTCTACATCTGACACCGAGTGCAATAACTATATATATAAATATAAATATCCATCTATATAAATACCCATGTAATAATCCTGTATAATTATCCTACTATATATATATATATAAAAAAAAAAAGCTGTCATATGTGGACACACTGTATATACTGTATATATCCTATGCACCCTTTTCTTCCTTTGGCAAATTCTTCTTCTTTGACCATTTAAGTTAATGTAACCGGTAAATTTCTTCACTGTGAAATCAATAAAGTCAATCAATGTTTTGAGAACCATTTTGTCTTTTTGGTTTTCCTAGTTTCAGCGTGCAAGGGCCGGCCCAATCATACTGGCTCCAACACTTACTCTCCGACCGAAGCTCCTACCTGTGACAGTGAATAACTCAAGGAGCTCAAAAAGTAATACAATGTTCACTACCTAAATGATGCATGCAGTATATGTAGCCCTTCCTTGTCATAAACATCCGTGACGGTTGGCATATGGTGTAATTTTCTATTTCTTCTAACTGTCATATCTTTGCAACAAACTGAATTATAATAAAACTAAAATGCTTTGTTAAAACCAAACTACGATGTTCCTCTTATATTTGGCGAATTTATGTCGGAATATTTTGCAAAAATATGTTGCGGTGCATGATGGGGTTCTGCATCTAAAGGCTAACGTTTCCTGTCTTACGTGCATTATTGCCAGGTTGGGATGTTTCCCAGTCTGGCAGTTTAGGATGGCCGTCTATGGGTAAAAAAGGTTTTTCTTTAGATTTATGGCCAAAGAGATCTATAGACACTGGTTGAAAATTGGGTGAGATTTGTATATCAGGCGGTTTATGAACATTTTGGGGCTGGAAAAGGCGAGTCAGTGACATCTGGCAACCCTGCTGATGTGGTTAGTGTGGATGTTACGCAGAAACAGTCACTGTTGCGTCCGTGTTAATAACCAAAGCCAATAAAACGGCATTATAGAAGTCATGGTGATGGTTGTCGTGTGATGCTTGAAGATAGATCGGGTAATCCACAATGTGTATTCAAACTCAAACATATAAGAAAAACTTTTTTTTGGTTGATAAATGTTTGCATAATTTTTCAATTGAGTCCTCAGAAAGATCCCAGCCCCATGTTATTTGACTGCCTAAGAAATAAAATATTTTACCCTTTACATGCACTCATAGACCACCAGGGGTAAGAGTAATAACAAATAATTATTGAACTTTATTGATCTCACGTTGAAGAAATGTACCTCTGCATTTAAGTGGGCTGCCATTGTGCGGAGGCCGGGGAGCAGCATGGGGTTAAGGGTCTTGCTCAGAGAGCCAGAGTGGCAGTTTGTGAGAGCAGGTTTCTAACTCACAACCTCAGTATTCCAAGCTCTAAACCATAACCACTATGCCGCCACTCCCTACCCCCAGGAGGGCATCACTGCTTTACAGACGGAACACAAACCAAGGAGGCAGGAACATGTTTACCTAAAAAGCTGCACCTCATCCTCTCCAAAAGGCCGGGCCTCCTCCTTTGGCAGCATGCTGAGGTAAGCTGCCTTCATGTACACATACATGGCCTAATGTGGAAACACACAGGAAAATAAAACTAAACATTTTATAGCCTGGGAATAAAGACACTTTCTGTGCAGAGGTGTCCACCTTGGACCAGCGGCTCTCCTGGCTGAGCAGGTCTGCGTAGAAGTACGCCATCTTCCACGCACGCTTGAAGGTGAAGCACCACATCAGCTCCCAGTAGCACATGTGGTGGAACTGCTTCCACGTCTGCTGGGCTTTGCAGCCATCCTCAAACAGCGCCACCGCCTGGCAGTAAAGTAAAACCGTACAGAAAAGATAAATATAAACAGTAACGAAGCATTTAAAGTGTATCCATCAAACATTCCCATCAGGAGACTTTATGTATCACTTAACAGCAAATATTGATATCAGTGAGAACGGGGCTGCTTTAACGTATCCTATGTTCAGGTAATAGAATATGAAACAGGTCAAACCTCATCAATGTTTCCTTTAATCTCTTCTGTCCTGCCAGCGAAAAAAAGGAATATTGCACCCTGTATAAAAAAAGAAACACTGATGAAGCTTCTTCCACCAGCTTGTTTAACTGTCAAAGATCTCATCAGTGTTCCGGCAATCATTCTAGGCCATGTTTGACCAAGACATTTTCATTTTTTTTTTCAGTTTACTCAGTGGGGATGGGCTGGCATGTGGGGAAAAGGTGGAGTGGGAAACACGGCCGTGTAAATTTACAGGAATGTGAGTCATGCAGAGTGACGGAACAGAAAGAGAGAGACGGAACCCTGCAAAAAAATCTCCATCTTAACAAGTCTTACAATCATACATCTAATCAAAAAGTATTTTTGATCTTAATATCATGATTTATATTCTCAAAACAATAAGTCTTACCAAATGCTATTGGCTTCCTGCACTGGCAGATTATTGCACTTGTTTTGAGTAGAATATTGTCAAAAGAAGATTAATAATCAACCAGAATCTGATAGCAAATGTAAAGAGGATTTACATTTGGGATGGGAGTCAGTATTAGTAACGATCACGTGACAGGATTAAAGATTAACGGGATGAGAGTGGGAGTAATTTCACCAGGAGTGGGACGGGACAGGATTTAGATTTCTACTCTGGCCCGGGATCAGGACGGGACACTATTTTCTTCTGTGGGAGTGGAACGGGACAGGAGTGAAAATCCACTCCCGTGTCAGTCTCTAGTGTAGATGGACCTCAGAGTCCTGTCCAGAGGAGGTAGCCCGTCTTTGTTGGGCCATGTGTCTGTAGAGAGGTTTTTTGGTTTCTCCAATATAAAGATCAGAGCATTCCTCACTGCATTGAACTGCATACACCACTCTGCTCATCTTAGGTCTGGAGGTTTTGTCGTCAGGATGAACTAGTTAAAAGCTTCCTGGATGGGAAGCGAAACGTCTTCAAACTTGGAAACAAAGTCTAGTGGATTGTTTTTTAACTTATTTTTTTGGAATGACTATGACCTGGATGACCGAGATTCTTCACCAGCATATTCCACCATTTTTATCTATTTCCCATGTGTACAGTGGTAGTTAGTTAGTTTAGTTGACTTTCACTAGTTTAGTCAAGATTCTTTACCAGGAATATTAATTATTACTTAATTTATTTCATATGTGTGCAGAATTACCAGTTTGGCTATAATTTAAGCTCAATTGACACATTTGTTAGTTCACATGGTCACAGAACAATATATGAAAGTTCACAAGTTGTTTGATTGAATAACGTAAGTTTCAACAGCTTTTAATTGCATAAAATATTTTTTTTATGTAATTTTCTAAGTGCAACATATCAGAGCATTAGTCGAGCTCTATGTCTATATTTGAGTTTTCAGTCTGAGTGGATCAGAGAATCGGCAATAAGCCCAAAGATTTTTACCTTTTTGTGTTTTTTAAAACTAACTTCTGACCTGATCTCTGCTGAGCTTCATTTATAGATTAACAATGAAACTCTGGGGCATCTTAAAGCTTTGGTGAAAAATTCAAACAGTTCTGATACATTATAAAAACGCATCACCAGCCAAAACAATCAGGTTATTGAGCACTTTGTTTCCATTTTTGCATACAGTTTGATTAAATTAACAAGAATAGTAAGTTCCAACTTCGTTCAGATAGATAATTTACAGGCTGCTCTTCTAAATTAGAGAAAACTCCCAATTAATATCTGAATTTCTAACTTTCTCCGGACAACTGGTGTCTGAATGTTGCAGTTTTAAATAACAGCACAGTGACAGAATCCAATATGGCTGCAGCATGAACCAAAGGAGGATGCAGCTGTAATATAATTTATTTCTGATGGTTCAGATCTAAATAAATCAACACAAACAAATATTATTTATCTGTAAATCTAAATTTTGCTGTAGGAAATCAATGAAAAGTAGTGCTGCACAAACTGGGACTAATATTTGACACCTTTTTTATTTGATCTAAAGGTGGAGAGTCAAGTTTACTTATTGAGGTCAAATTTTCTTGTCATTTGCATTGATCAATAAAGTTGATATTTTATGCCCAATTAATGAGCCACAGCTTTTTTATAACTTCTGATTTGGACACAATAAAGTTGGGTAATCTCTTTTTATATTAGCTCCAACTATTTATAAACAAATAGATTGCATCCTTACATATTAAATCCTTTAGTTTGCTTGTTCAGTCCAGACCTAAAGCAGACTTGTTTTCTATTTGTTGCAGATTGCTTTCCTCTTTTGTTATATTGGTGACCTGTAAAAAAGGCCTGCATGTGATGATTGTTGCTCCCATTGATGAGAAATGACTGAAGAAGAGCACAGAGACCTTGAAATGTAAAATAAACTATCATGGAAGTATTTGCCTGCTGCATTTCCTGCATGTTTGCACTTGTTTTATAGTTGTGTTGGAAGAGCAGGTCCCACAACATTCTTTTCAAAGTGTCAATTAATGCTACAACCCAGATAAACTGTTTGATGTGAAGCAGAAACAAAAGATCAGGAATGACTAAAGCACAGCATTCACTGTCATTGGAGGGGTTAGGGTCAAGCATTAATGACTAATGGAAAGGGTTCAAACCTTTACCGGAAATTTGCTATTATTTTCATTTTTTCGACTCCTAGTTTGCATAAAATCAGCAAAGAAGAATCCACAGCAGAGTGTTTGCGGCCACCCATTTGTGCGGTGGCTTTTAAAAGAAAGGCTTATGATTAATAAAAGCAATAAACAGTCAGCTAGCTATGATACTGGTGATTAGATTATATCATGCAAAGGATTGCACACGACTGACATCAAAAAACAAAGCCAAACTCAGACTGAGAGCCTCGTCTTTGACCTGCTGCACCGGTATTGAGCTGAAGAAGGTTCCACAAGGGAATCTGTTCCTCTAAATTCATAGACCACCTTCTGCATGGAAATAGAAGCCTTTTTTATATACTTTCCTCCTTTTACCTTAAATCTTAACAGATACCTGCTGCATTTCCAACATTCTTGATAGAGAGAATTTAAATCATTTAACATAGATCAGACTGACGGATAATTGTAAGCATAGCTTCATCTTTTTATTTCAGTAAATCTGTCAATCTGGAGAACGGACATGTCTGCTCTGATGCATGCTGGGTAAAGAGGGAGGGGCGAAAACAAAATCCGAGGACTTTGACCGTACGTGGTCTGCTGTTCTTGTGAATTGGATCAGTACCAGGGCTGAGGCTGATGACGTTCTACGAGTGCATGAGAACGCACAAGTACACGTATTGAGAAACGGCCAAAGAATCAAAACTGGAACCCAAATTCTTAAAATGTAAACAATCTCAATTACTAGGCTCTGCTACGGTGGCTAGTTAGGTCCAAAAGGAGTATGTTTCCTGGGTTAATTGGGGCCGGTTTCTTTTCTTGATGGGAATCATCGTAAAAAGTGGGACTCGGTCTGGTGGATTGATTCAGACCAGGGTTCGCCTTAGCGTAGTCATACATGTACAAAAGGTGCAGCTCAGGTTAAAGCCGAACCAAACAAGGAAGGTTCGAAAACACGCCTAAGTCCCTAAGGTCAGGGAAGTCTAGGCAAAAAATAAAAAGGCCTCGAAAACGATTCTTACCCGCGGATATCGGAGCCGGAAAGGTTTCAGAAGTCTCTCAGCCTCAGAGACTTCTCCCTCACCCGTTCCTGAGAGGATAAGAACAGAAATACTAAACCATACAGAAAGCTTAGCGGGGGGGAGAAAATGTTTTCTTTACAGTAATTCAGAGGTAAACCTACCGAGGACGAATGTGAGGAAGGTATGGTAGCAGAGCAGCAGCAGAGCACACAGCATGGAGCGCAGGTTCATTCCTGTCGCACCGTCGCAGAGCAGAGACAGACCATATTCCTACAGCAGAGGACAGGTGCAAAACATCTACTAGGCTGTAAGAAGCTGCAGAGGAAATGGAAGACATGATCAACATCCCACCTTATCGCCGGAAAAGCCTGCAAACTCCAACATTTTAAGTATCCGAGGAGGAAACAGAGACAGAGTCTGAAAGCAAAGAACATTTGATCAGTTTCAAAGATACAAGAACACAATTTTACAACAATTTTTATCTAACGTCGTACGTTTTTGCAAGAAGTCCTAAAATCAGATAAGTATGGCAGAACATTGACGTAAAGAATTGATTTGCTAAACTAAACCATTGAAACGTTGAAAACAATTTTCCAATTTGACCAATTTGAGAACAGCTTTTAACTCACTTTACTTTCTTCTTGCTCACAAATATTCATTATTATCCATGAAATCTTTGTTTCTGCAATTTTTTATTTCCTGCTTCTTGCACAGGTATTTTCTGCATTTGCTTGCCACTTCCTCCTCCTGTGCTAACTTCCCTGTGTCTCTGCTTGTGGATTTTATTGCTCTTTCTCAGACTTGCAGGAAAAAGTTGATTCAAAGCAACAAAATAAAGACTTTTTTTGTTTGCATTAGATTTTCAGCTTATAATTTTGTTTAATGTCTTTTATTGTAAAACCATTTTATTTTTAGAAACCTTTACTAAAGTTTTTGAAATACTACAGAACATTTTGTAACAGTGAATAATTATTGATATATATTTCATAATTTATAGCACTAAAACAGTCACAAGGCAAGTTTGGGAGCAAATTTTCCTCTTATCTACGTTGTCTTTCTATTGGCTGGAAAGGTATACAGGCAATGATCTGACTTCATATATTTGGGAGGAAGAAGCACGTGATGCAAGCATTAGAAGTTTGAGTAAAAGAATGAGATAATGCTCTCAATTTGAAAATTTGGGTTCCTGATTTTTGGCAGGACATCAACATGTCATTTACCCTTCAATGGCATTCAGAGTGAATAAAGAAGGATACGTAGAGGCTTTATTAGGGGGTTCAGATCTGACATTGATTGGGAATCGTTCCAATATCAGCCAAAAAATTAATATCCAAATATATCTGCCTGCTGCTAAGATCTCCAGTATTAAAAAACTCATAGAAATTATTTGCCTCTATCCTGTTTTTAACCCTTTAAAGCCCGATCCAAGAATAAAACAAAACAGAAAATTACTTTTTTTTTGGTTTGAAGTCCTTATTTGGCCTTTTAACAAAATATGTAAAAAGAAAAAACAGAAATACATTTTTGATATTAATCATTTATTACTATGCGATACTGTAAGTCAAGATTATTTTTTGTTTAATCTTCTGCCCTCTGTTATCAGGTATATCTGATTGTGTACAATAGGATTTTGAGTAAAGTTTTTACCATTAAATTAAGCAAAAGGTGTCAGACGCAAAACATTTCAGAAACCGTATGTATCAAATATGATACATTTGGCATTACAGGGTTAAAAAGTTTGTTTCTATTTAGTAAATAAGAAATGGGTCAGTTTTGTTCTAATACCTGATGTTAAGTATTATTCACAGTTTAAAAAAATATCACTGCATCAAACCTTTTCTATCACTGCATACTATAAAATAAGTAATAAAATTAAGTAAGATTCATTTTAGTCACAACCCAACGCTGCAATATTGGTCTTATATTGTAAGGTGACTGGATTTCTACAATTTAATCTGGGGTAATTTCCAGTTCATAGATAAAAATAAATACATTTTATGAAAATTAAAATGGGAAACGAGGACAGTGATGTTTTCATCCATTTTTACATATTTAATAAAAAAGTTAGGTGTGAAATCCAGGAATACGCCTCTTCCATTTCCTAAGATAAATAATATTAAACAATCAGTAGTTTATTTACAGTTAGTATCAGGATCAAAATATTTTCTCTTATATAGCAGAACGATGTGTTACAAAAACTGATTTGATATTGAATTAATTTTAACTTCTGCTAATGGTGTTAGCTTTCGCTAATATAGTAAAGAGCAGATCACAAGCTGATCACATTTGGGGATTTTTATCACACCTATAATATCTTAAAACTTTGTGTCAGTGATGCACTGTCTACATTTACACCAGTCAAATGCCATACGATAAATTACAACTGGTAATGTTAGCCTTCCTGTGTTTACTCTGTAGGTTCCAGTCCATGAAGACCCACTGATCTCTATTTACTGGATTACTGATAGGCCTGAAGTCACCTGTCACCATCTTGGTACTCCCCACTCTCATGGAGTTGCACCATAAAAATGGCTTTAATGTAACTTATTAATGTATTACCATAACAATGTAATCAATACATGTATAATTACATTTACATAATCAATTTACCACCTTTGACACATCAGATAGTATGTCTTTATGTGTAATATTCTTAATATCTGACTACAATATTATTATGCTCCATTAATACACTAGTTTTGTTGAGATGGATTTAAATATGATATATTACATGATTTTTAGACTTAATACCGACTATGCAATGTGATGCGTCTATTTTTTACCATAAATTACAGCAATCTACTGATGCTATAAAAGAGCAAGTCGGAGTCAAAGTGACAAATTTATCTTTATTTTCAGTCTTAAGCCTCCCTGAAAATGAGAAAATTGCTGCATTCAAAACATTCAATATTAAGAGAAAATCATCTTATTTGCATCATCAGTATATAGTTTGTGACCTACCAGGTTAAATGCTCCCACTCCAAAAGATATTCCTCCCTCTAAGTGAATGTGGCTCGGTCCTTTGACACAGTTGTGGGATTTTATGAAGTTATGCAGGTCTCTGCATCACATGCAAAGAAGTAGAACAAACATTTAACAAACAAATTCCATGAAAAACAATCACATGTCTATGTAAAAATCATCATAAAGCAACTTTAGAGAAAACAATAATCACATTAAAAATTTGGGGCAAATAAACCCCAAAATAAGTCACACAAAATTGTAGAGTTGGACTGTTTTTGTATTTCTTTTTTTTTGTACTTCTGTTCATTTATCATTTCTTTCTGGTTTTCTAATCCTAAGTCTACAATACAAAGTTTGACTGATTGCAAAGGTGTTCAGACTCATTTAAACTTTCAGTTTCTCAACAACCGAAACCTCAAAGTGTTGTTCAGGAGGAGGTTTTGTGGTGAATCAGCACAAATTATTGCACAACTGTGAGATGAAAAGGAAATGACACACGGTTCACAAGATTCGTCTCTAGTAGGAAATATAAATCTTAATCATGTGTAAGCATTTCTATCCAGCTCCCTCTCGTCTCTGCATTTATAGTAGTTTAGCTACGTCTATAACAGCTTTACAGTTTTGCCTCTTTGTAACCGATTATGAATATAAACATATGTATAAATTATACACTACATAAGCGCATCCTAGATCTGAATAAATTAAATATTCTCATTTAAGACTTTGCTCTGTACAAAGTTGAAGTTGTTGACAACAAAATCAGACAAAAACCATCACTGAAAATCAAATGTATTAACCAATGGAGGTCTGGATTTGGAGTCGCACACAAAATTAAAGTGGAAAAACTTGCTACAGGTCGATCCAACTTTGATGTTATGTCCTTAAAATAAGTCAAAATGAGGCTTAGCATTGTGTATGGCTTCACTGTGCCTGTATGACCTCCCTACAATGCCTAGGATGGCTCCTGAGGAGGTGGTGGATGGTCTGCAGAGGGATCTCCTCCCAGACCTGGACTAAAACTCCTGAACAGTCTGTGGTGCGACTTGACGTTGGTGGATGGATTGAGACATGATGTCCCAGATGTGATCCATTACAGTCAGGTCAGGAATTGGCGAGCTAGTTCATAGCTTCAATGCCTTCATATTGTATTGTAACTACTTACACACTCAAGCCACATTGTCCTGCATTGGGAGGAAGCCAGCACCAACACTCAATGGTAGTCATGCTACCTCTTGTGAGCACATGGAGGGCTGCTCGGCCTGCCAAAGGAATGCCACCCCATATGATTAAGGTCCCACCGCCAAACCGGTAATGCTGAAGGATGTTGCATGGAACAAAACGCTCTCCATGGTGTTTCAAGATTCTGTAACATCTATCACATATGCTCAGGGTGAACCTGGGTTCATCTGTGAGGAGCACAGGTCGCATGTGGCCAATTTGTGAATCCTGGTGTTTTCTGGCAAATGCCAAGCAACCTGCATGATGTTGAGCTGTGAGCACAACCCCTATCTGTGGACTTTGGGCCCTCATACCATCCTCATGGAATCAGTTTCTAACAGTTTGTGCTAGGGATGGGAATCGAAAACCGGTTCCTGTTAAGAACCGGTTCCGTATTTTCCGATTCCATGGCATCGTTTGGCAGCTCACTGAACGATTCTTTTTTCGATTCCCGCAGCACCAGAGCCTAGAGCGCCGGCTCTGGGGAGCACGACTTACGTCACGTTTTTTACGTAAGTTACGTAAGTTACGCAAGTTACGCAAGTTGTAAGAACTATTCGAGGAGGAAGACAACGAGCTGCGGTCACTTTGTGAATCAAAGCCCCGTCTTTCCTTAGCCCAGAGGGTAAATCAGGAAATCCAGCTCTGTAAAAGCTTGCCCTCCATCCCCTGCAGGGATAGCGCCACACTGTGGTGGTGGAACAAGCAAGATACGCTGCCCTTGCTATCTGACTGGCTGAAAACTACCTCTGTGTGCAGGCTTCCTCCACCCCATCTGAGAGGGTGTTCTCCACGGCCGGAGACACCATAAGCCCTGAAAGATCCCGTATCCTTCCAGAAAAAGCAGATATGCTCATCTTTCTGCAAAAGAACTGTTAATTTTCCCTACTACTGTTTTATAATTAGTATTTTTTGTTATTTAAAATAGGTTATTATCCCATCATTTGTTATTAGACATGGTTGGTTATTAAGTTTGTTCTTGTATATTTATTTTTAATTTAAACACAGATGTTACTCCAGTTTCACATTTCCTGTGGACATCTTGATCTTGTTGAGTTTGTAAGATTGTGCAATAGTTAAGTAAACAAAGTTGATTCTGATAATCAAACTGTTTGTTCTCCTTTTTCCCCCAAATTGGAATCGAAAAAAGAATCGATAAAGAATCGAATCGTTTCATAGAATCAAAAAGGGAATCGGAATCGTGAAAATCTTTTCAATTCCCAACCCTAGTTTGTGCAGACACATGCACATTTGTGGCCTTCTGGAGGTCATTTTGCCTTGGTCAGGCAGTGCTCCTCCTGTTCCTCCTCGCACACAGGCAGAGGTAGCGGTCCTGCTGCTTGTAGTTGACCTCCTACGGCCTCCTCCATGTCTCCTCGTGTACTGACCCGTTTCCTGGTAGCACCTCCAGCCTCTGGACCCTATGCTGACAGACACAGCAAAACTTCTTGCCATAGCTCCCAATGATGTGCCGTCCTGGATGAGCTGCACTACCTGAGCTACTTGTGTGAGTCTGTCTTGTGCTACCACTACTGTGCAAACACCACCAACAGTAAAACATCCACAAGAAAGACTGATTTTGAGAAGCAGTCTGTGCTCTCCACCTGCAGAACGACTTTTATTGAATACCCCTGGCTAATTGTTAATTATTTCCATTTGCAAAACAGCATGTGAAATTGATTGCCAATCAATGTTGCTTCCTAAGTGGACAGTTTTATTTAATAGAAGTTTAATTTAATTGATATTGTGTTGGACGTTCCCTTGATTCATTTTTTAGCAGTGTATATATATATATATATATAAACTATTACACTGTAAAAGTATAAGTTAAACAATTGCATACACAATGTGATATATTATCTAAGCCCTTTTCTTTGTTGAGAGGTTTTTCAAAGTTAAGTTAGGCCTTTTCTTTTAAGATTCCCTTTTTTTATGTGTTCTTTTCTTTTGCCAACAGAACAAATTTTTCACTATAAATTTGAGTTTTATCTGAAAACAACAGTTATAAGTCTTTCAAAGACTCAGTTACATTCAGGTTGGCTTTATAAATGAGTTAGTATCACATAAGGTATGTAAAAACAAAGAAATTACAGGTTTATGTTTATTTATATTTCTTTTATTTCACATATTAGCATTGATGCCCTGTGATAGACTGCTGATGTGTCCAGGGTGAACCCTGCCTTTCACCCACAGACTGCTGATAATAGCCTCCATCCCTCCATGATCCTGATGGGTAAGAGACTTATACAGTGCCCTGTGTGTCAAACACACTTTTATCTATTTGTTTTTTTCTGAAATAAGTTCCTTGTTTGTGCAAACTGCTGCTTCAAACCACAGTAGGACTTAATATGAACCAAGCCGACTTCTTACAAACTGAAAAAACTGTATTCTAAATTGAACAGTGATGCTTTTTAAGACTGGAAACTGTCATTCTACAGCTAGATCAGGTTTTATCTTTATAAAGCACAAAAGTAAAACATTCCCTCAGTATTAGTTTAATGTTCTGATCATTACTTACTTGTAAATCATGTAACTGTTTCGTACTTTCATCCCACCTTTGATAAAACTCACCATGCTCTCATCCTGTGGGAACAACAGTGTTTGACATTTGATAGAACATAAACAGGTGAAGTCATGTAAAGTTATGGATTGAATTTGGTTAAACTGAGCTGAAGTGAAGCGGAAAACAACTTTAGATCATGTAAGAGGAAACCCTGGCTGTGTTGTCACTGTGTTTATATGGGGGGTATATGGTTATCTTTCTGTTTGACTAAGTGCAACGGCTGTGGTTTACCTGGAGGAAGGTGAGAGCAGCTCTCTGGAGTTGACACTCTGCATAACACACCTCTGCATGGAGCTGCACTGCAAACACAGCAACACAAACATTCAGTCAGCTGTTAAATGTCTGAACTCACACCAACCACAGTCATGTCTGTAGGTTCTGGTTAGAAAACCTTTAAATACTTGGATATAAAAAGCATATTCCAACATAAACAGGACAGGCATTCATGTTGGCTAGAATATTTCTGAGTTAATCAGTCTTGGATGAAAGGATAAATATTCTTTATTAATGTATAAGAGTTGTTTACCTTCTGACAGCGAATCCCCGACTGATTTGTTTGTCAAACCCTGGGCTTTCCGTCGGAACCTTCAATAATGTAAAAACAGATGGTTTTACAACACTGCAGTGTGATTTATTGACAAAGATTCCTGTTCAAAATAATGAGAATAAAAACATCAAATTTGAACTTAATGCAAATGAACGAGGAAAAAAACAAACACCCCTCCTCTTGTATATTCTCATTTAATCATTAAAGAGGTCAAATTATTCTGCCAACCTTTGTTCTCTGCTGAATTTGTCATGAATATGATAAAAAAAAATACATTTTATGAAAACTAAGTAGTATATGTTAATCAATGAAAGAAAAGCCTACATTCATATCCATCCTACATGGACATGTCTTGTGACGATGCGACTAGTTTAGTTGAACTCTTGAAGCCATTCACCTTACATGTTTTGCAAAGGGGTTAATAAAATAAAAACAAAATCTCAAATGAGCTCCTAATGCTCACTGGGTCCATCTAGTGGTAAACTGGTACATTCTCAACAGGAGAAATGAGTAAAGTCTGCTACTCTAACTATATGAGATGGACTTAAAAAGAACAATCTTAACACATTAGCGCACTGCTAATATCATCCTGGTTATGTGAAGAAATCTCAGCCTCAGACAGAATTAACAAAACAACCAGCAAAAAGAAAAAAAAAAGAAATTTGAATTTTTTGGCTTAAATAAATTGAATTAGCTTAACAGGAGTTCTAGAAACAAGACATTTGAGAAGATAAAGGAAAACTTCAAACTGGCCACAAAAAATATTTCATCAAATTGAGACTTTTTAAACAATAATAAGCTCATAAGAAGCTTGGGAAACTTGAAGGCAATGTCCTTCTCCTCAAATGTTGCAGCTTATTTCATCCTCACATGTCATCCTCTTTTTTTTAACATGTATATAACTCATTCTTAATAACATAATTGTGACAATAGTCTATCTAAAACATAACTGAAACCAAGAAACTTGACAAGCAAACTGCAAAAGTGGTTGCATTCAATTCAGTTTATCTATATAGCGCATCAGCTGTCATCTCAAGGCACTTTACAAAGACAATTCAACCAGATAATACAGTTAGATTGGTTCAACGTTTTCTATCTAAGGAAAACCAGCTGATTGCCTCGACTTATTGACTCTCTGCAATCTCTCACACCAAGCATGCTTGTAGTGACAGTGGAGAGGAAAAACTCCCTTTGAAAAGAAAGAATCTCCAGCAGAACCAAGCTCAGTGTGAGCGGCCATCTGCCTATATATACACTGCCTGGGGTTAAATTTACACATAAGTAACAGATTCTTGAAGTACATTTGACCTGAACTTGAGAAGTTCATTAAGATTATCTGCAATTATCTAAGATCATTTTTATTATCTTCAAATAACATTGATATCGAACATATCGTTGTAATACAATGGATTACAGAGTATGGATAGATACATACATGTGACACAGCTTTAAGTGCTGTTGTAACTGAGTTTGATATTGATAAACACCTTATTGTGAGAAACCTGACAAATCTAGTCAAGTGGAAACTTATTGTTTTTAACATCACAGCACAGGAAAAAAAAATCTACTGAAAAACCGCAGTAGTGTAAAAACACTGTCTAAAACACAGACCACTGACTGCATATAGGAAACCCAGGAATTATTATTTATCAGCAAACAAAAAAATAATGTTTGCTGATAAAAACATTTAAAAAAATCAATGAAGGACTTTCAAAGACTTCAGAGACCACTGGGAACCATGTTTCTTACATAAAATAACTGGCTTTACAACGGATTTTATTTAAAAAAAAACCTCTCGACCCCACTTAGGATTAAGCGTGTCAGAAAATGGATGGATGTTTCTGTATATCCCCCACTCTACTTTGTATGACATTTTTTACATTTGAGGAAGCATTTTCAAACATTACAAACTAGACTTGTCTATCTCTTAGACACGGAAATGTTGAAACAAATATATGCAAACTAACAGTGTGGGGTCAGCAGCCAGACCACTGTGCACTGTGCAGTGGAGGAGTTACGTGACCAACGTCGAGCAAAAAGCAGTGATCATGTGTCCGAACGGTAAGTTAACTGAGTTCACTATAATGTCCACTATATAGTCCCCTCTCTATACAGTGATTGAGGGATTTAGGGGTTAAGACTGAGAAGAAACAGAAACATAGCTCATACAACACAGCAAAGCTCACAGCATACTTTAAACAGAGTGTGCACGAGGAGAAATTGACTTGTGCACACTCTCGCACGTGTGCAGAGGGCATGTCTTTTAAAAAATTCACGAAAATCCACAATACCTTTAAGTTAGAAAAACTGTTCTTTTAAGATAATTATGCGTCATCTCTGAGCAAAAACAAACCTGCTCATATCTGAAGCTCTTCTTTAAATCTTATCAATAAACATCAACTAGCTAACAGATTGGTTGTATATGCAGGAAATTTTTGTTATGAATGAAACTAACTAAGGGGGCGTGTTGGCCTAGTGGTTAGAGCAGTGCGCTTTTGCTCTGAGAAAATTGCAAGTACCTGGTTCAATCTCCACTGCCTGCAGCCTGGGTCCCTGAGCAAGACCCTTAAACCCTGATTGCTCTCCAGGCTCCGCACAATTGCAGCCCACTGCTCCCCAATAGGACGGGTTAAGATGCACAAATTAATTTCTCCATTGCGAGATCACTGATGCTCAATTCTAATTCTTAACTGTGGATAACTTATTTACATGGTTTGTCACCACTGTGCAACACAGTAAAAACCCTGCCTTTCAAGCTAAATGTTACTGAATTTGTGAGTTTGCAATGACAAGCAGACTGGTATGGCTTTTTTCTTTTATTGTTGCAAGAAAAATAAACTTTTTATATGACAAAAATGCAAAAAATAAATTAAACTTAAAATAACATCTTAATAAAAAAAAAGGTTTAAGGGTAAATTTGCCGTTTTCACAGATTCTATATTTTTGGAGGGAGGTTTAAAAGTCTAAATATTTTATTAATTCTTATTTAAACTTTTAAGACTTGTTTTAAATCAATCACAATATCTTTAAATATTTTTTTTCAATCATCTTTTTTTTTACTTTTGATATTTGAAACATAATTTTTTTTCTTAATTCAATATGAAAAACGTCAAAAACAAATAAAAACATTTCAGAAAACAGCAAATTTTCAAAGCTTCTTTTCTGGATTGTATTTTTTCTTGTATATTCCATATGCAGAACGTGTTTTCTGTTTGCAACAATAATGGATCAAAATTCACTCCATAGCCTTGCTATACCACAGTGAGCTTTTAAACCAAATGTAGGGTGCTGCTCTGATAAGTCTCCATCCTACTTTCCTCCTGACCGCCTCCTCACATAAAAAGTATCAACTATTTACATCATAATATGTATGATGTCATAATCATATCATAATATGATTAAAAGCAACACCGACCATCATTCTTACTTGTCACAACAGACTGATCATCTAACAGTTTATGCTATCTTTACAAGGAAATAATGCCTAATTTATGCAAAATGTAGTCAAAGCAGTATTCAGCCACAGTAGAGCAAAAGATGTAGCTGCACCTCTATCCTTATGGTGAGCATCACAGGAAAATAAGTATTTAAAGGATGACTATATATGATAAGTGGTAAAAACTGACCTCTGACAGACCTCCTGGGCACTCTTCATGGTATTCCCTGCATTGGTGATGTCATCATGCTGAAAAGTCATCATGGCCTGCATCTCCAGTACCGTGGCGTAGATAAGAGCGTGGTACATACTCTCATGGACTCTAAACAGTCAACACAGGATTGCAGGATCAACATCCTCCACCTCTAAATGTAAGCAAACACAGTTTAGCTACTGTACGATTACTGTATGTCCGGCACATTTTCCTGCAGAGGGAAGATAAGAGCAAATATCTTTCTCTCGCTATTCTTTCTATCAGCCCTTCCATTCCTGTTCACTGTGGCCCATGCAACGTGTTTGCACTGCACGGCTGACGTTCTGCAAGGCTGTTGAATCAGTCAGACCTTGGGCGTCAGCTTCAGCAAACACTCGATATCCTGGAGACCTGTAGCCTGCCGGCCGGGCAGCCCTACGTTTCACAGCTTATACCACAAAAGTCTTCTGAAGATCAAGAGGGAAGCTGAATTACTGCTACATCATGCTTTTGAACGCACCACCGTGAATCTGCTGAAACACCCCCAACCACGTGATTTACATACAACTTTTAATGGTGAGAGCCAGCTGAAGCCCCCCTTCCTCCTCCTCCTCAGGGATCTGGCTGGGGATTAGTGTTACCTAGGGCGCAGCCTCTCCAGGCTCTCATTGAAGTGGTTGTTAAGGAAGAGATCCAAGGCCTCCATGCACTCATCCAGACACGCTTTCAGGGTCTGATCGGAGGAGCTGCAACACAAATGGGTGCAAAGATTAACAGATGAGATATACAGAAGTAGGTCGGGGGAAGGGAGGGGAGGCCGTAATGTGGCAGCATATACAAACATGCAGGATCACATATTGATTGAGCATTCAGAAGATAAAACGTGTGTTTGTGTGTTTGCACTATTCCTGCAAAGCTTTTGCTTTCCTGGTTTCTTAACCCTGGACCTCAGTCCTCGCTGTCCTACATGTTTTGGGTGTTTCCCTGCCTCCACACACCGGACCTGAATGAAACAGGTGACTAAGAAAATTTTGGAGCGTTTGATGTCTGCTGAGGAGGTAAAGCAATTATTTAAATCAGGTGAGCTTGAGTAAAGACACATCAGAACAAGGGTTAAGAAACAGACCGCCTTGCCAGATGCTGACTACACTGCCATGTAAAAAAGTATAGGAAGGCCAAGGGGGACAAATATGTTTTAAGTAATAATCCAATTGAGTCCAATTTATTTATATAGTGCAGATTCATAACACATTTCATCTCAAGGCACTTTATAGAGACAATTCAACCAGATGATCAGATTGGTACAAAGTTTTCTATCTGATGAAACCCAGGATTCTCTACCCCTGAATGAGCATGTAGTCACAGTAGATATTCCCTTGTATTGTGTTGTTACCTCTACAGCAATCCCTCACATGCATGCAGCAACAGTCCAAAGAAAAACAATTCTTTTAACAGGATTAAACCAGCAGAATCCAGTAAAACCAGGCTCAGTTTGAGAGGATATTTTCCAAGACTGCGGTTCAAGAAGAGAGAAGTAGACATACAAAGGGAACAAAAACACCCTGATCTATGAAAAATGTCTATGTTAGAAAGGGTAATGCAAACTAGCTCCATAGGTGGCTCACTCTGGGAAACAATCAACTAGGCAGAAGAGTAGGTTTTCACATTAAAAAGGATGATAGAGAGCATAATAGCCACAGGTAAGGCTGAGCTCTGGCATAGCTTTGGCTAACACACTCGTGCATAAAGGTACGTTCATGGCAAAGGGGAATTTTCTTGTGAGTTTGCAGTTCTGGTCGTTTGACATATGAGCTCCCTATTTTAGACACCTATATTCCAACGATTTAACACAGGTTCCTGTTGTCCGTTCAACTCAGCGTGCCAAAAAGCAAATAAATGGTGCTTTATGTATGATATGGAAAGCCAAATAAACAGTTTAGAGTCCACTGTGCCTGTTCTCAAAGTGCAGCTTCCCTCTAAACATGCACTGGAAGCGCTTCCCTCACATTCCCGACTTTTTAGTCGCTCCTGAACGCACCCTTACACAGAAATAGCATGAAAATCAAATGCTTCAGTTGCCACATTCGTGCTCTGCGAAAAGTCAAGTGAATCTGGCCTTCCATATAACTGGAGTCACTTGAAACAGGATGTTTGAGCTGACAATGCGCTGGTTCCTCCACAGTTTGGAGGGTTATACCCACAATAAAGAATTTAAATCATAATATACTTTGAAGAACTGTGGTTATGTAGCTTCAATTAATCACTTAATTATTTTATTCTGATAAGGTCATATTTCGCACTTGATCGTTTGCCTTTTTGCTGGTTGGTAACCCATTCATACCATTTATGCTGAGTTTTTATTTTGTTCAGTTTTTTACCTGTGTGGTTAAAAGACTGACTAATTTTGAAGTATTTTCATAAGTTAACAGGATAAATACTAATAAAAATGATCAAATATCAAACACAATGACAAACTGAATGAAAACAACCATATTCATACCCAACACTAAGTGACATCCTGCTGGTATTTATTATGTACAGGAATTATGCTAGAAATTTCCCATTTTGTAGAAAAGAAAATAACTTCTGGTTGTCAAGGCTGGTAGGAAATAACTTCCAGGTTGGTAAAAACTGAATTATGGTGGTTGGTACGTAATTAGTTTTGCGCTTAAAAGTTGAGAAATGACAAAGGGGTAAAATGACCATCTGTTTGTTTTTTGTTTTTTGTTTTCCAAATATATATTGTTGAGAAACATAATCCTTAATTATGGTTTCATTTGTGACTTTTTCTATTTATCTATGTGTGGTGGTGTCCAGCAGAACACGCTTAATTATTACTGAAAATATCGACTCAGTAAAAGCTGTGGATTGGTTGAGAAAGAACCACAGACCTTAGAGTGTGAATTTACCTAAGGAGTGTTTTAAATGCATTTATTTATGACTAAAATAGGTATTAGAATTTATCCTTGAAACCATTGTTGCAAATATGCAACAATTCCTTTGTATTTGATACACAACTAAGATATAATGTGCAGGTGGGACTGTGGCCTAGTGGTTAGAGCATTTTGCTTGGAATCCAGAGGTTCTGAGTTCTAGCCCCACTCCCACAGACTGCCACTCTGGGTCCCTGAGGAACCCCACACTGCTTCCCAGGCAACGCACAATGGCAGCCCACTGCTCCCCAAGGGGATGGTTTAAATGCAGAGAGTTAATTTTGTAGCTCTGTACTTGTGTTAGTGCAGTGACAATAAAACACTGGAAAAAAGAAAGAAAAAATACATCAACACTACACATTCAGTGTGGAGCTAGGAACCTTTGGCAAGCTTTTGTTTCCCCAAGGTTATCATTGACCATTCCACGTGTTGCAGTTTAATATTTTCAATTTGGCAACAACTAAAAGGCGAAAAACATCTTAAAAATATCTATAGACATGTCATGACATTACAGGGTTTAACTATATTCTGTTGAAGTTTGAATCCAGCCTTCCCAATGGGAAAGGGGTATCATTTAACCATCTGAACCCCAGTATGCCTCAGCAGAAGGTTTCTTCCTGTTAAAAGGAAGTTGTTCCTCTCCACTGTCGCTACAAGCATGCTCAGTATGAGGGATTGCATTCGAGTCAATGAGTCAATGCAATCAACTGGTTTTCCTTAGATAGAAAACTTTGAATCAATTTGACTGGATGATCTGGTTGAATTGTAAAGTGCTTTGAGGTGACGTGTTGTGAATTGGCGCTATAGAAATAAACTGAATTGAATTTGGCAACAACAAAAATAAATGCTAAATTTAAACTGGCTATCTGGCTTAGCTTCTTAGCCCTAAAGCAGAGGATGCTAATGAATGAAACATCTTAGCTTTGGTTTTGAGGGAAACTTTTAAACAGCCACCTTGTTAGTCATAGATTTAAAAACATTATTACTACTTCATAGATATTTTCTGATCTTCCTATAAATCAATTCTTATTTTTGTTTTTTAACATGAGAGAAAACATTGCGGGTGACTTCATACACACTCTGCTGTCCTCTCTGGTGAACACACTCCGCTTTGTTTTAAAAATATATAATAGAAATATAAAAAATATAACTGCGGATGTCTGGGGGACAGTAATTCGCCTATATGTTATGAATGCTGGCGTACCATAAAGAATAAATTATGAACAGTATAGTTTGTGCCTTCAACTCATTGCCCAAAGGAAGACGTTACTTGGATATAACAAAACCGAATATCTTCAGAACAGCTCCAAATGACACAAAACTCATATGGGTGAGTAGAACATGATGTAATAATGTAAAATCAAGGAGCCAATGTAAAAAAAACGGCATTCCCCTTTAAGTTTATATTTGTGAAATGGATGTTATTTGCAAATCAATTAATCAAAGAACATCAAAATTGTGCTTGGAGATGCATGTCACTGCAGCTCTATGATTAGCTGTCCAATCGGTATTTATATCTACGCTTCAGGCCTTTACCTCCAGGGTGGCGCTACAGAGCACTGCTAACAAAAACCCAGCCATCCCAGAGACAGTTTTCCCAGCTGTCCTTCTGGTGAACATGATGGACACATTACACTCAGAGTTGTCAGCTGTCAGATATAATCAGTTTATCAGCTCTGTAAAATTCGGCCTTTCTTTACCAGCATATAATAATGGAAGACTGGCCATACATACAGATACATACAGCTCCCTTTATCCTTTTTTTTTTATCCCTTAAGTTTATTTCAACCTCAGCTGAGTGCTAAATCTATAGCCAACTTCCATGTTATGATCATTAAAAATAGTTATATTCTATTTTATATATTTGTTCAAAATGAATTTAATTCAAAGATGCTGATTTTAATCTACCTATATGAAATGAATGCAACTCATTTAGTTTTGTTAATGTGTTTATATATCATGATACTGCTCCAATGATAATTAAATACTGTAGATTTTACAATTAAATGTCTTAAATCTTACAATGTCTCAAATCTTTAAAGTAGATTTTAAGATCTATATATTTAGCTTTTAAACATGCATTGTGTTTCTAAGGTCATGTAGTCTTACTGTAGGAGTCAATTCTAGCCTAGGAGTCCTAAGCAGCACCTCTGATTGGTTATACCTTGGACCGGCTCTGCATGTTATGCACTAATTATAAACATCACATAAAAGTTCCAATGAGCAATAATGGCTTAAAACATCTCTTAACGTTTTACCACCTAGTTAACCAAGAGTTTGTGGACTAAATATCTAATCTCCACAGGTTCATCGTCTCATTCTTTTTTTTTTTTTTTTACTCTTGTCTACTCAACCGACTACAAACTCGCTCTTCCTTCCTGGTTCACCAGCTCTGCAGCTTTCTGGTCTACAGAAGTTTGATGGAAAGGTATGCAGCAGAATGAGGACAGGAACCGTTTCCTGTTGTTTCCTGGCATAGATGTCAGTAATGATTGTCCCTTTTCTGTTCTCATGGGGGGGATTCCCAAAGCGTCTAATTAAAGTGGTCAACGATCTCCGGTGCGCAGGAAACTTTCATCTCTAAAAGTAGTTTTTTTCTTTTCCGCTTAAAGTCTGTACTCACTTTTGCGCAGCATTTGGCTCTTTCCCATTGGACATGATGCCGCTCCGCGCTGTGCGCCCTGAACACCTGTTAGAAACTCAGCGGCAGCAGCAGCAGCTCTGGTCCGGAAACAGCATCCAGGAGAGAAGCGCATAAACTGATCCAACTAGACCTGTAACCCTGGAGCTGACATCGGAGTCACAAACAGTTTCCTTTTGAGCAAACTTTGACATGCATTCAGAGGTGAAGGAACGCGCTCATCTGTGCGGGTAACCTGAGCGCGTGCGCACAGAGGCGCGCTGCCGCTGACTCCTCCTCGCTGGCTGCTCTGCCACCACTGATCTATATTTATTCACTGGATTGCTGATTGCCCGAAAAAAGTGAAGCCAGCGGCCGCCTTATTGGTACTCCCGACTCCCACGAAGACACGCAGTAAAAATGCCTACCTGTGTAACATTTGACTGCAAAAACAAGCAGTTTGGAAACTGTGGGAAAACATTTCACACGCTGGATGATTTAACCAAGAAAAATAGTATAGCGTAATATTTGTCAGGTTATTTCGGACCGACATGAAGATATTGACTAAATTAGCCACTGACATTGTGTCTAACGTAAGTAAATAGAAAGCATAAAAAAGCAGAGTAAATCGAAAGTAATTAACTTCGAAATGTCATGTATATATATATATATATATATATATATATATATATATATATATATATATATATATATATATATATATATATATATATATATATATATATATATATATATATATATATAGGCTATATAGTTATATATATATATATATATATATATATATAGGCTATATATTTGCATGCACAATTTGCAAATAGGAAAATAGCCTACTATACCATTAACAAACATTTATTTGTAATTCAGTCTTTATGTAAAATCTTGAAATCATATAGCTACGTAATTACCTTAACAATGTAATTACATAATCAATTCAGCCATTTTGGCACATCTGTATTATTGTGCCCCATTAACATATTAATTTTATTTTGATGGATTTTTATATTCCTGGCCCAGGGTCTTTCTGCATGGAGTTTGCATGTTCTCCCTGGGCATGCGTGGGTTCTCTCCGGGTACTCCGGCTTCCTCCCACGGTCCAAAAACATGACTGTTAGGTTAATTGGCTTCTCTAAATTGTCCTTAGGTGTGAGTGTGTGTGTGAATGGTTGTTTGTCCTGTGTGTCTCTGTGTTGCCCTGCGATGGACTGGCAACCTGTCCAGGGTGTACCCCGCCTCTCGCCCATTGACTGCTGGAGATAGGCACCAGCACCCCTCGCGACCCCAATTGGGACAAGCGTGTAAGATAATGGATGGATGGATGGATGGATGGATGGATTTTTATATGTTATATTACATGATTTAGAGACTTCATCCAGACTATGTAATGTTATGTGCCTATTTTTTCTATCATAATTTACAGCATGGGCATAGGTTTGCATAGGGACCATAGGGACATGTCCCTACCAAAATTTTGAACCGTCCTAATTGTCCCAACCAATAATTGGATGTGAGCAACATGTTTATAATTTACAGCAGTAGTTGTTCCAGCAGTGGCTTCTTTTCCTCTCGCAGCTCCTCTGCCTGGTCTCTCCTGTCCCTTTCACGCAGCAGCGCATGGAACTGTGCTGCGCTGTTTAACTCCACTCTCATTAGTTGTTCTGCCTTAAGTTCCGCCTTCTCTCTCTCTGATTGGCTGTTTTCTAGTCCGCGTGTGCTTGGAGCATAACATTGAAAATTTATTCACACTAGAATGCAGCGGTTACTACAATTAATATTAGGCTACAAAACTAGTCCCAATAAAAAAAAATGAATATCATGTACACTAAAAAACAAAAACCTTTTTTTTTCTTTTATAAAACAAAATATTCTGAGTCAGCCAGGAGTTCTGAAGACTGTTGGAAAAATGGGCAAATAAAGGCTGTAAGCCATCAACATTTCTGATTCTTAGCCACAGCCATCTAAAAAAGAAAATGTGAGGGTTTCCTTTTTACCGATATTAAGTTGATATTACTGTTTTCATTTTTTATTTTTATTTATTTTTACAATTTTGATATAATAGCTGATCCAGTGGGTTGCTCTGTGGGGAAAGGCACATTTTACATTTATATTACTGTATGTTTTAAAGTCTCTATACTCCAGTTAATGATGAATCACTTACTAAATTAGTTGACGATTATTGAAATAATCAATTAATATGATTCATTTTTTTCAGCCCCAGATGAAATACATGATATTGGCTTCACAGAGTAACTACAGCCCAGATGTTCAACTTTTATAGTGAAGTTAATATTTTAATGAATGTATTACTTTGCTTGATACAAAGAGAGAATAGTAGGTACCCCCCACAATTTAAAGCAGTGTTTAAGGTAGTGAAATGTTTATGCAGCTTTCAGTGACGTGCGGTGAGGTTCATAGCTGGTGAGGCACTGACGTCATCAGAATCAGATTTGCAAATAGATGCATAGATTGACAGCAGTTTACAGGTTATGTTTCACTTCTGCATCCTTACACATACAAACTGTAGCTCACAAAACACACATTTCCTTAAAAAACAAAACAAAATAAATGTTATTACTGTCTTACCTTTACTTATAAATGAATAGAAGTCCTCCTTATCTTCCTTCAGTTTTAAAAGTCTCTCTGTCTCAATGGAGATCACTGCCAGGGAAGAAAGCCTTCCTTGATCCGTCCTGTTCCTGCCTTATGTTTTCAGTCTCTTGAGCACCCCCTGCCATGAGGCAAGAGAACTGCCTGCCTCACCTCGAACTTGTTCTCTGCCGTTTATAATCGCTCATTACACGAAACACGTTACACAAACACAGTTGGTGACAAAAAGCTCTGTACATTATATACATAAGCCAAATTATTAGAAATAAGTTCACATATTACATTTGTTTAAACCATTTTATTGACGCCGTACAGCAACATGCTCTCTCCGCTTTGCAGCCAGCGCAGAGCCAGGGGTTGCGCAATCCAAGGTGAGGCAGAGCTCGCTGCTGCCTCACCGGCATCGCTTCCAAGCATTTGAATGGGAAAATAAGAAAATTCAGCGATTTTGAACAAATAAAAATCGAAATTGGTGAAGCTACATGAAAAATGAATATTTTTTAGTACAAACCACCGGATGAATATAACAATTTAAATTACTTTATGATTATATATTTTCTTTCTTTCCATGATGGCTGGTGAGGCACTGCCTCACCTGCCTCCCCTGACCGCACGTCACTGGCAGCTTTACATTATTGTGAACACAATCTAATTAATTCAACTTAAGTGGAAAACAACGCGAAAATGAACAGTAGGTTGCGCGCCAGTTTTATTGTAATGCTACAAAACGAACACGTGATGCCGCTGTGGTCTCATTTATACCATCAACAGCCATCCCAACGCAACTTCATACACTTCCTTTTTAATTTCCACAAGTGGATGAACTTAATTAACTATAATAATCTATTGGCTTTGATAAACTTATCAGAAAAAAAGGGATCTTAAGTCATTGAATTTAATTTGAATAAATGTTATGATATCCACATTTATTTTGTAAAACTACTTTATCCAGCAGAATCTCATTTTGCTCCATGCCTAAAAGAACAGCAGTGCAAAGCACATTAGCAGCTGCACAGAGCTGAAACTTTCTCTGTGTCTCCAGAACCATTTCAGGTTGAAATCTGTGAGAATATTTAATCATCTAGGGTAATATAGCTATACTGTAGTGTTGCACTGATACCAGTATCGGGCGGGGCACCGATCCAGCACTAAAATGATGGTATCAGCAGTGTTGTGCCTGAACGCGTTCATTGAACGATAGTTCATGAACTCGTTCATATTTTTGGGCGAACGTGAACTGAACGTACTGTATTACTGCCTGATGAACATTATTGTGAACTCGTTCATTCTGGTGGCTGTGAACGGCACGCTCTCAGTTCAACTCCGTTCAATAGGTTGCCAGATTTCTATAGGGCCCTCCAGGCGAAACCCCGGCTAAATCACACAGTAAACAGGCCTTAATATGTAGCGGGGAAAACACCCAATCTGGCAACACCAGCTACCAGTGTCGTAGCCTAGAGCCGCGTGCGTCATCAAAACAAAACGCAGCGTGGAAGCCACAGCAGCATGGAGGCGACCGTGGATGCGACAAAGCAGCAGTATGATCACTTAAAATAGTTTTATGACCAGGTGGTCGGTGAGGATGATGGCAACAATCTTACATTCCTCTGCAAACTTTGCCCGCCGGCTTTCAGTAAAAAAATCCGCACTTCAGTAACCTTAAATTCCTACCTCAGCCTGGTCCCTCAGTTTGTGTTAGTAAAATGTTCTTGAGGGTTTTACTATTCATGTAACTTGTTTGTTAAACCTGCCTGGTATAATTTTCCAGGATTCCAGTATTCCTTTTTAGTATATACTGAAATGGAATTTCAAATTGAAAAAATTATTAAAATTAAAAAAACATTTGCACCGTAAAGTCTACTTTCCTGTTTTTCTTTTAATAATTCTTCATAAAAAAAGACCACATTTTTCCTGATGTTTTTTGAGAATATACTGTAGAGGTGAAAGCTGCAGCTGCTACTAGTGTGAAGTGAATGGACAGCAACAAAGCGTTAAATTAACAAGGGTGAAATCTGTCCCCTCAATGCTAATGTAAACCCTGGTTGGATAAGGATTCAAAACTGGATATGAAGATGAAATCTGACGCTCAGTTTCAGAGTTACAACTGCTAAAAAAATTGCTGTCTGTGGTTCTACAGGAGGCTATGGAGTAATTGAGCAATATAAAAAAACAACAACTACGAACTAGTTCCTTTTTTGGGACTGTGAACTTAGTTCAAAATTTTGAATTATGAACTGAACTAGTTCATTTTAAAATGTGTGAACTGAACTTTGAACTAGTTCACGTAGAAAGAGAACTTTCCCAACACTGGGTATCAGTATCAGTGAGTACCAACAAATAATGCACCGATACCATTTTGAGAGCCAAAAGTTTATTTAACTATTGTCACCCATTCCAGGAAGAGAATAAAAAGTTGTAGAGCTTAGCCATTTGTTATGGTTTTTTTTATCATATTCTTATAAAATTATTAAAATCATTCTGTACCGCTAGTTAAACTACAAAATATGAAAATCGTAATAAAATAATTTCAGATTTATTGTTACAATGTGACAAAATGTGAAACATTTAAGGTGGCACGAATACTTTCACACAATACTTTTCGTAATGAAGACATACCCACCCTGCTTTTATACCTAAAGTTTAATAC